TCCTTTAAATCTACACCCTTTACAAACAGCATAAAGCATCTATTAGGTCTGAATGAGTACAATTTGTGTGTTTACACAGGAGCACAGCAGCAGCAGCTCTATTGGGAAGATTGAGCCCATCTCTCCTGTGAGCCCGGTGCCCATGGAGGCCGACCTGGACCTGGTGCCCTCCCGCCTCTCCAAAGAGGAACTAATCCAAAACATGGACCGCGTGGACCGGGAAATCACCATGGTGGAGCAGCAGATCAGCAAACTGAGGAAAAAACAGGTAAACTTCACCCCGACCTTCTTGAAGCTGTAAATATGTGATCGAAGGGCTGTGCAGTAAAAATGATAACTGTATCGATCATTTATAGAAATGATCATTTATAAAACAGTGTTGCATGTTTGTTAAATGTCCAATACACTGTTTGCGCTTCAAAATATTACGCTTATTTGTATCACATGGACTCTTTACCTATTTATGTAAATCGTGTTCAACATAGTGTGAGTTTTGGTTCATTTACATGCTTATTGATCTCAAATCAAACACACAACCGGCTCCAAAGAGAATCGCATGAATTTAGTGAAGAACTCAAATGTCTTTGTGGTTTAGTTTAAAACCTTATGAAACCGCATTGACATTCTCAATGACACTGAAAAACTGGGGAGGAATGGGGCGGAAAGTGCAGTGTGCCATGAACGATCCATCTTGAAAGCTTTTGCATGGATTTGCTGTAGTACCAGCAAATGCACCACAGTGTTGTGGCAGGATTGGTAGATATACCGTGTACGAATTTGTGTTAGATTAATGTTAAATGATGCTTTAAAGGAGTAAATAGGGTGTCCGCAGATCCTTTAAATCTTAAATTCCATAGTATAAAATAAAGGCTTAATTAGTGTTAAAATGTCTTTAATCTGCTTTTCAAAGGTCTTAAAAACCTGTTAAAGGTTTTGTTTACAATTTGAAATCTACTTAAAATGTCTGTCTATTTGTCACCCGGAAAAACATAGGTGGAACCTAATAAAATAAACGGATTTTACTTGCATAATCGATTTCACTTACGCAAGCGGAGTTTGCTGGGATTGAACTGTAAAATAGCTTTTGATTGTTGTCAACCTGTACATTAGCAGATATTCATTAATAACTTATCAGCTCAGGTCTGAAATTGGATGGTTTTTGCCAATTTCAGCCAGTCCGTTCTGTTATGGTAGCAGCTCAATATATATATATAAGGGATGTAACGGTATCAGAATTTCACGGTACGGTAATACCTCGGTATGAATGTCACGGTACGGTATTTATTGAATCATTTACAGGAAAAAACAAAACTTATGAAAATACTCCAAAAAAGTGCCAAAAGTGTCAATGACATACAAATTAGCCATCTATCTGTAAGCTTTGAAACAGGAACTTCAATTTTAATAACAAAAAATTATTAAACCATGTAAAAAAATAAAGTTTCAATTTAGTATTGTTGAAAACTCATCACATTCAACATTTAATCACTCACTCACTTACTTAGATAGAGATGGGTTTTAAGGAAAATTATATAAATATAATCTGGTAAAAGCTGGTATCTCTGGGCATTTACAATGTTCCCTGCAACAGAAAAAAAAACGGACAGAGAGATATGACTTGGCCCAGGTTGACAGCAGTGGGTAACGTTGTGCATTGTCTTTCCCCCACTTGAGAGGGCAAGCCATGAGTGAGATAGAGGTCTCATGTCTGTATCAATCTGAACAGTGTGCTGTGTCACACCCTCCGTCCCGCCCTTCAGTAGGCGCGCGACAACACCGCTCTTGAGTATGCGCGCTCAACCCCCCCTCCCCGCTTTACAGTACGCTCGCGACAACACAGCTGATCAGAACGTGCGCAACAACACCGCTATTCAGTACGCGCGCGACAACACAGCTGATCAGAACGCGCGCGACAACACAGCTGATCAGAACGCGCGCGACAACACAGCTGATCAGAACGCGCGCGACAACACAGCTGATCAGAACGCGCGGCGACAACACCAGCTTCAGGTTCGATCATTTCCAGCTCTTTTTGATGTCCGCTTCTAGCAGCACACTCCATTTCCGCATTACTGTATCTGTAGCGACAACAGACCGCAAGGGATGATGGTCACCCCTGGGCTGATGGGAATTGTAGTTTTCGCTACCTCCCATTCGCTTCATTCGCCTGAGCAAATTTTCTCAGAAGACCTATAGTTTTACCGAGTCATGCGACTATGGGAATATCGAAAAAAATTAATATTGCGGTATGACGGTATTTACAATACCGTTACATCCCTAATATATATATATATATATATATATATATATATATATATATATATATATATATATATATATATATATATATATATTTATATAAAAGATTGTTAAGGATGGTAATTATTTGTGTTGCGTGTTTTTTTTGTATACTCTGTACTATAAAATGTAGTCATTTTCAATCTTTGTTGTATTAAATAGGTCTTAAAGTCTTAAGTGGAACTATTAGAAACCTGCATGCATAACTCTGCCATACTGTGCTGCAAAAAGTGGTGGGATAACCCAAGATGATGTGACTGATAAAATGAGCAGTTGCTTCATATGTTAAATTTCTGTACAGAGAGGTCAAGTTTTGATCTTCTATTGGGCTCATGCAATCATATGATGCAAATTTGCTGATCAGAGTTCACCAAGCTTGAACTTTGGAACGCAGCGACTTGCGAAACTTGTCACATCAGCTTGTGTTTCCGTTCTGATGCATTTGCATGCTTATAAATATAAGTGGATGGGGTGAAAGTGCAGTGTGACTGTGGCTTAAGAGATTACAATTACAGTAGTTGTTGTTACTGGCAACACTGTGGTTAGCACTGTTTCCTAACAACAAGAAGATCACTGGTACGAGTCTTGGCTGGGTCAGGAGGCGATGGCTGGCGACATCACAATGTTTAACCAGCATCATTATTCCCCGACCCCTCCACTGTAACAGCAACGATTTGAGTCCAAAACACACAGTGTAAATGCGCATGTCTTTGCATGTGTTCAAACTACTGCTAAAGACTGTACTGCTGCTTTTTGCCTACTGAGCTCATTCCGCTCATTGGGCTCAGTGGAACGGGCTGTTGAAGTAGAGACCTGCATTCCCACTGGAGTCCTGTGACCTGATGCAACTTAATGCGGAACATTATTATATAGGTGAATAGAGGCAGTTAGATACTCAAATATGTGGGTTGTGTAAGTTCTACATGTATATAAGCCTGTATCTAAAAAATTAAATTAGCAAATAGGTTTATATTTGACAGAAGCAACAACACAATGGGAAATGGTGCCTCAGTGCCTGTTTCTCCTCATAATAAAAACATTTTGTTCAGTCGAGCTCAATCAACAATGTCACATTTGCAACACAAATGCTGTGCTTATGTTAGTTGTTATCATTAGGTTTCATTTAATTTATTAAAATAAACTAAAGATTTAATAAATTTTTCAGGAAATGCAATGCATTTGTTTGACCTCGTGGCAAAGCAGGTTAATAGCCTATTTCAGTTTAATTCATGTATTTAATTTTGCAGCTACATTCTTATTAGCTTATTTCAGGCTGCTCTGTATCAAAATATGTCATAAAACTGCCTTGTCCTTATTCGTTCTGTCATTGAATTAAACACAAAAAACAGCCATATTCATTTTTATTCCAAGTATTTTTAAATTTAATATTATTCAACAAGGAACTCTTGACAAAAACTGAGGCAAGAAGCAGTCAGTGCAATTAAAATACTTGAGTATTTACCTGTGGGCTTGTGCGGGAGGGAGTAGAACAATTTCCTCAGCCTCAGTTTCCTATTCCTAGCTGATTCAGAGATGCTCTTCTGCACTACTTGGTTTTAACGGTTATTTGAAATACTGCTGACTTTCTATCAGCTCAAACCTGGCCATTCTCCTCTGGACTCTGGCATCAACATTTGGCCCAGAGAACTACCGCTTACTAGATTTTTTCTTTTTTTTTTTTTGGATCTCTGTAAATCCTAGAGATGGTTGTGCATGAAAATCCCAGTAGACCTCAGCAGTTTCTGAAATACTCAGACCAGCTTGGCTGGCACCAACAACCATGCCACGTTCAAAGTCACTCAAATCCCCTTTCTTCCCCATTCTGATGCTCGGTTTGAACTGCAGCAGATCGTCTTGTCCATGTCTACATGCCTAAATGCATTGAATTGCTGTCATGTGGTTGGCTGATTTGAAAGTTGCACTAACAAGCAGTAAAGTAAAGTGGACAGTGGGTGTATAAAAATGTATTTCTTTTTCACTGTGCCCCAAAACCTCAATGTCATCATTCAGCACAATGTCTCAGGTTAGACATCATACGATGCCTTATTGGTTGACATCGCCCAACCCTAATAGTTTACATAAAGAGTGAACAGTGTAGTTTCAGGTAATTTCGCTCAGGAGCAAAAATTCCTTTCAACTTTAAATTTAACTGATGTTTTAATTACTGATTTCAATCCATAGGAAACAATTATTCATCTTTTTTTTTTGCCCAACTGTACATTAATGTAGATTTTTTTTTTTTTTTTTTTTTTTTTTTACAAATTAAAATGCTTATGTTCAATAGCTCCATGTTTGATTTTGTTAACTTCTATTTTACAAAAAAACAGCAAATTTCTCACAGTCTCTGACTGGAAATAGTTTCTGGGCACATGTTTTCAATATATGGATCCTCAAATCAATCTCCTCGCTATACTCATTCTTTGTTTATTTACACATACAGTCCTAGTTAGCATTTTTAAACAGTTTAGTCTCACCCCAGGAGATCTAGCTCTCCTAAAATAAGCATCAGGACAGTTTGCAAAGTGTTTTATTTAGAAGACAAGGATTTGTTTCTAAGCACAGCTTTCCGAGCTGCCATAAGTAGATGCTTTTCATCCACAGTGCAGTCAGTGTTATGTAATCTGGACTCTCTGAGTCTAGTAGCAGCAGTAGACGAGTGTGTGTGCGGAGTGGAGTTGTGATTATTGTGTGGTTATTGCCTCAGCAGGCCACACGGCTACAAACACACTTCCTCTGTTTCCTCTTGCCCTCATTCCTTCCTTTTTTTCTCTCTCTCTCTCATGTTTTTTCTTGGCAGTGCCATTACTCAGTGGTCTGCTTCAGGCGTTAATACGGCAGTATAATTTTAGCTCACTTATTTTAGCAGCGTAATTGCATCAAATGTAGTCAATTATTACAAGAATTTTAATACGCACAGAAGTACTGTACTTTATAGCAAGGCTTTGCGTTCAAATCTATTCTCTGATATTTCTAGTCATGCTTATCAGGGCCATTGCAGCAAACCTATAAGCAGACCCCGTCGTCTTGTAAAACAGACTCCCTCATTCTCTTGAGGTTTTGGACCGTGTCCAGAGCGCTGCTCAATAAATGGAAGCCACCTGCGCTCCATTGTGGGGGTGATGGAGGATTGGAGAGGGAGTGAAACGGCTTGAAGTCTGAGCAGTTGTATAAGTACAGTCACGCTAGTGAGAAAAATGAACCTCTCCTCATCTGCCCCTCAACCCCATAGCGCTTCCCTCTGAAAGATTTGGCGTCCCTTTTCAATGCGCCAACGGACCCCGCTCTTCTCCCTCTCTCCTCTCCCCTCAGGTTTCCTCCAAGCATTAAAACATCTGGGGCAATTAAATGCTGCGGTAAACCTGAACGTAAAGCGAGGGAGTGATGGAGAGACGAAGTGAGAATATCAGATTACCGCGTGTTTGTCTGTCTGCGAGGGCGGCGGGACGGCTCGTTTATTTTCTTTAACTCGGCACACACACAGCGTCCTGATCCTGCTCTAGAGCTGATCCATATGAGTTAGAGCTTGTTTTCTGCGAATAGGAGGCCCCTTGCAGGATTTTGCTGGAGCCACTCTGCGTTTATGTGTGCGTTTGTGTATAAGCTGTCAAAGACTTGTTGATCATTAATCTTTGACTGTTAAATTGTTTCTATAAAGTGCTCTACGGCCAGTCAGAGAGCTTGTGTGGCATTAGCAGTGCGTCTGATGTGGCGATGGCCTTAATATTAGCTCTCCATATCCTTGGCTCTCTGACTGCTTATTTTTGTGGAATTGCATTAGTCTCGTTTATAAGTATGAATAAGAATTCAGTTTTGTTCTTGTTTATTTTTTTATTTCATTGTTATTTTGGTCCTCACTGTGGATTTACGGTTTTCTTTGTATTTTTATTTTAGCAACAGCTGGAGGAAGAGGCGGCGAAACCTCAGGAGCCCGAGCGCACCATCTCACCTCCACCCAGTGAAGCCAAGCACCGCAGCCTTGTCCAGATCATCTATGATGAAAACAGGGTGAGATGAAAAAACTTGTTGTATTTTTTACATTCATTTGTTATTATTATTATTTTTTAAATTTTTTTTTACTCTTTTAAATGCTGTTTTACTTCTTCTACTATGATTAATACAACCCCTGGAAAAAAAAAGTATAGAATCACCACCCTTGGAGATGTTTATTCAAATGTTTAATCGTGTAGAAAAACAAACAAACACATACAGTGCATCTGAAAAGTATTCATAGCGCTTCGTTGTTTCACATTTTTTTATGTTACAGCCTTAATCCAAAATGGATTAAATTAATTTATTTCCTCAAAATTCTTCACACAATACCCCATGATGACAATGTGAAAAAATATATATTTTTAAATTGTTTAAAATGTATTAAAAATAAAAAAAACCTGAAAAATCACATGTACGTAAGTATTCACAGCCTTTGCCGTGAAGCTCTAAATTGAGCTCAGGTACATTGTTTGGAAACACCAGGACTCTTCCTAGAGCTGGCCGACCATCTAAGCTGAGTGATTGGGGGAGAAGGGCCTTAGGCCCCGTTTACGCTAGTGCATTTTAGTTTGAAAACGCATAAGTTTTGCTACGGTTACGCCATCCGTCCACACTACGCCGGAGTTCTCGAGCGCCGAAAACGGAGCTTTTTGAAAACGCTGGAGAGGCCGTTTTCATTCTAAAACGCTGCTGCTCCGTCTCAGTGTGGATGGGGAAAGACGGAGACATCTGAAAACGGAGGCGGGGCTGCAAACGTTCGCCTATCTGATTGGGGCTTTTCCTTAATATTAAGTAGCCCACACACAGTTCAGTCTCGCATCCTCTTCTTGTAAGTTAAGACTTCGCAAGATTGATCAAGGCTGCAGTCTCCCCCTTCTCAGTTTGATATGGAAAACATACCGAGGACACGGGTAAATCTTCAAAGGGAACAGTGTACTTTATAACTTCATTCACATCACCTTGGCTACGTTGTTTCACTTTCTCAACAATAAAATGTAAACATGATTTAAGAAACTGCCTATTTACTTTTTAATATTAGCAACTTAACAGACAGCAGAAATGTTGAGGCGTCGTGCTGCATATATGAGCGTCATCTTCACTGTGTGGATTTTTATAACAAAACGGAGCCGATAACAACTGCCTCCTTTCAATTTCTGTGAAAATACGAAACGCACCCTCTCTTTTGCTGAATATCAGTTTTATTAATCGATAATTATAAAAGTATAACATACAATAAGTTTATACATTGTAGGAAATAAAAGCAAGCGATCAGTCAATGTACCTGGATTAATCATTATCTTATCTTTGCGCTTAACCAAAACATGTTACCCGTGAACAAGTAACTTAATAGATTCCAATGACCAAAGTCAGGGAATTGGCCTATGTCGATAGATAAAGACAACAACATGAATGAAATATCACGTTTAGCAAATATAGTGAGATTAGATCCAGCGGTAGATGCTTGATGAGCAGTCCGACAAGCAGAGCTCTCAGATGGGTAGAAATGCTGGAGCGCTTGCCCGAGAGTGTGTGTGTGGTCACGTGATGTGCGTTTTCAGCGTTTTGGTGTGGACGGAGAGCTGTTCAGAATCGCTGGGTAAAACGCTAGTGTGGATGCGGATCGTTTTCATTCTACAATGCCGTTTCAAACTAAAACGCACTAGTGTAAACGGGGCCTTAGTCAGGGAGGTGATCAATAACCTGATGGTCACTCTGTCTAAGTTCCACGATCTTCTGTGGAGAGAAGTGAAACTTACAGAAGGACAACCATAAGTGCAGCAATCCACCAATCAGGCCTGTATGTGCTCTCGCTCAGCACAGTAGAGATTGCTTTAGTTATATTTTGTATTTTATTTTTAGTCGTTTGGGATGCAGTGATGCGTAGTCAAAAATTTTGCTGAAGAGATCCACCACTTTTGCCGTTCATAAATTAACATAAAACCCCTTGCGCTGCAGGTATTAGGAGGTTTACTAAAGGTGCAGCTGTCGTGCAGTGAGGCGTTTGCGTCTTTAATAAGCTAGGACAGTTCGTGTTCATGCAACTGTAAGAATAATTAATAAATCCACATGAAACAGTCCAAAACTTACCACGCCAAAGCCCAACTGAACCGTGCTCTGGCATGCCTCTTCCAACCGGGCCAAGGCCGATTAACTGAAAAACGCCTGAGCCCGATTCAGAGCACTCACACTTGTCAAATGAACCGTTAAACACACCTGGGCACTAGTTAGCATAGTGTGAGTATGCCCAAAGTGTCAGGACAGAAAGCTTAAAGCAAAATGCCTTCAAAACAGAAAATGCACAGCAAAGCAAATGAGAAACAAATGGGCAGAATGTGGAGTCATTGTCTGTGACCGGACTTTAAGAAATCACCTAAAAGAAATGGGATTTACATACAGAAAAGGCAAACAAAAACCATCATTAACATCTTAACAGAAAAGAACAAGGTTTCAGTGGGCTAACGAAAGACAATCTTGGACTGTGGATGACTGGATGAGTAATGTTTAGTGATGAATCACAAAACTGTATTAGGCAGGGTGATGATGCTGGAGCTTTTGTTTGTTTGGTGTTGTTCCAATAAAGTTTATAAAGACAATTGCTTGAAGGAAGCATGCGAATTTCCACAATCATTATTGTAAAGGTATGTTAGAGATGACCGGTAATACATCCTTTATAAATGCTATATTGTCTATATTGAGATTTTGGACACTTATTCCATCAATTCCATTCAAGGATGTTTGGTGATGATGACATCATTTTGCAGGATGATAATGCATTGTGCCTTAGGGCAAAATATGTGAAAACTTTCCTACGTACATATTGATATAATGTTAATGGAATGGCCTGCAAATATTCCAAACCTCAATCCAATTGAAAATCTGTGGTGGAAATTAAAGACAGTGGTCCATGACAAGGCTCCAACCTGCAAAGCTGATCTGACAATTGCAGTAAGTCAGATTGATGAAGTATACTTTAATTCCATGCCTCAGATAATTCAAGCTGTTCTTAAAAGCCAGAGGTGGTGCAACAAAGTCCTACTGGTGTTTTTATTCGGTCATTCCATATAGTTTTCCTCAGATTTGTGTGATTCCATCTTTTTCCTCAGCTTGATCTGTGAACTCAGTTGTAATGGACTACAGTGTTCTTTCTTTTCTTTTTAAATAGTGTTTCCTACAGTCAGAAGGTTGTATTGTTGAATGGAAATAGTTTTGTGGCATGTATGTGTTTGTTTGTTTTTTCTACACAAGCATTTGAATAAACATCTTTAAGGGATGTTACTTTTTACTTTTTGCCAGGTAGGTGTTATTTTCTGCTATTATACTTTTATATATATATATATATATATATATATATAAAAAAAATAAGAATTCAACTAAATGTCAAAGCAAATATTTTTGGATTATTATAGGCTTTAAAAAACATTAGAAACAATTTGATTAGTATTGTAAAATCTAAAAAACGACCTCTTAAACTCGTTTGCTAGTACACACTTCAACCCACCACCACCCTAACAAAAGTATTAAACCCAAATTTGTGCAGTTCAGAGGAGTTACATCAGAAAAGAAGCAGGTAAGTCAAACAGCTGTGGCAGATCTTAATGAGAGAAATGAGCTGTAAAGTGTATGATGAGGTGCTGCAGTTGATTGACGGTGAACTCAGCCCACCTTCACCACCTTCACCACTCACAGAGACACACACAGTCCATTGTGCTGAATCACAGCGCTGCAGATTATCGAAATCACATCCACCGGCTTTATCGTAATTTTCAGACGAGGTACTGAACATGTTGCTTTTTATGGCAAAGTACCTGCTTCTTTATTTGTAAATACTTGTTTGCAATTGGAATAAATCACATATATACACTCTGTTGCATACTGAAAGCATTAGCCTCTCTCTGAAGGGTAAACATTATTACTTAGCAGTTGTTATTAGTACATTACAGCAAATAGGTCAATTACAAAAAAATAATTATAAAAAATAATAATACACAGTAAAATGACTCAGATGGAGTACTTTTGTTTTTTAAAAGCTCTATTATTTGGGGTATACTACAAATTAAGCTTGCATACTGAAATACAGTAGAGTGTGTATAAGCCAAAGAGAGTAGATTTGGTATATTGGTATTTATCAGTAATGTGTCTATGGTGCTTGTGGTCCCTCTAGTGGGGAAAGATTAGATTAAGCATACTGTCTGAAACTGAGAGCATGTCTTTATATATTAGTTTTCAGCATAAATGAGATGGGATATTGGAAAAATCTGACATTGATATTTTGATTTGCTGCGATATGAATATAATTTCATCAGATGATTTAAACAGCTCTGTTTAAAAAAACATTTGATTTATTTCGATCAACTGGGATTTATTATTTTTTTTCTCAATGCAGTGCATTTGCATAGAATATGATAAATGACAAGCATATATAAATCGTTTTTTTGGAGAGTGTAACTGTATTCAATGTACAGAAATTGAACTATCAAGCATAAAGTAATGTGTCATCACCATTGTATAAATAATATTTGAAATTATTGTTAGTAAACAATCTTGGGGTTCAACTCTAAGGATTTTTTCTACTGGCCAGATTGGGCCAGTGGTTCAGATTATTAATTTTCCTTCAAATATTTTCACTGGCCCCACCAAAAAAAAAAAAAAAAAGAAAAGTTAAAAGCTATGTCTTAGCCACGTTTTAAATAATGTGTCAAAAATAACGTCTGTGAGTCTAGAATGTAAATATAAAAAAAAATATTAGTAAATGTATAATGAGCAAAATTCAAAGTGTTATGCAAACAGAAATAGCAGTATGGAACATGTGCAGGTATTTTATTGCAATTCAAAAGGTGGCTGATCTGTCAAACTGACGGCAAACAGTACAAAAGATCACTTCATTTTTTTCGTCATGTTGTACCCATGTAATTTTCTGCTTTCAAGATGTTAGAAACATACATTTTCTTTTAGCCTCATAATTTGATGTTGCCACCATGCTGCCTTCTCTTCACTGTACTGGTTGTTGCCAGATTACAGAAGAAATAACGTGCTCACAACATCCAATCAGATAAGAGGAACCGAAAAGCAATATGGTGTTTAAAACATCACATTCAAAGTTAGCATTTAGAGGACAATAAAAAGATAATACATTACAATTAATGTGAAATATTGTGAAAAAAAAAAAAAAAACTATTACAAACTACAAAGATTTAAATATATTTTTTGTTTCTCTTGATTTTTGCTTTTTATTTGGCATTTTTCCCTAATATATACATTTGGACTACTAATGTTTGAACTGTTAATCAAAAGTTGAGTTGAGTTGAGTTAATGTAGCGTATATGCACAGATATAATATTGTAAAGCATCCTATAAAAAAATATTTATTTAAATGGGAAATTTGTGAGATGTGTACTCTAGAAAACCTTATAAATCATACATAAGGATCATATTCAGAATATATAAGTGCACACAGTTTCCTGTGAGGGTTGGTAAATACAGTTTGCACAGTATAAAAACTATGGAAGTCAATAGAAAAAATACAAATGTGTGTGTGTTTGTCTGAGAGAGAGAGAGAGAAATATGCTGCAGCTAGCTCTCTGCAACTCTCACATGGTCGCCCACTGCAGCTAAGCAGGGCTGTGTCCGGTCAGTACCTGGATGGGAGACCACATGGGAAAGCTAGGTTGCTGTCGGAAGTGATGTTAGTGAGACCAGCCGGGTGTGCTCAACCTGCGGTCTGTGTGGGTCCTAATGCCCCAGTATATTGATGGGGACTCTATACTGCTCAGTCAGTGCCATCTTTTGGATGAAACGTTAAACTGAGGATATAACTCTCTGTGGATGTTAAAAATCCCAAGATGTTTATCCCAAGATCCCAAGATCCCAAGATGGGGTTTACCCCAGCATCCTGGCCAAATTTGCCCTCTGGCCTCTGTCCATCATGACCTCCTAACCCTACCCATTTGATAATTGGCTTCATCACTCTGTCTTCTCTCCGCCAATCAGCTGGTGTGTTGTGTGCAGTCTTGCACTATATGGCTGCAGTCGCGTCATCCAGGTGGATGCTGCACATTGCCGGTGAATGAGGAGATTCCCCCCATTGTGTAAAGTGTTTTGAGTGTCCAGAATAGCACTTTATAAATGTAAGATTATTGTTATATTATATATGCTAGTTTATTTTAGTTTTTTGTGAACACTTCAAGGGTCACATCTCATTTGCATGCGATTATTTGCTATGTTTTTTGAATGCATCTTGGCCTGCATTTTATCACAGTTTCTTTTTAACGTACTCTTGGGAAAGCATCATGCATCTCCTTCATAATTTGATATGCCTTTTACTGTTATCCGACCTCAAGTGTATCCAGGTCTCTGTGCTGTTTTCCTCAGTCAGGTGGTTCGGGCTCCCATCCTGCTGTGATCTTTTAATCACACCCTCCATCTCTTAATCCATTAAGGCCTCTCGTGCTGCGATACTGCCAAACAGCACTCACACCTTCCTGCTCTCTTCCAGGAAGTGCTCGATGCTCTCTGCAATCTATGGGACGGAATAGAGAAGCCAGCTCGCTGAAGTGAAAGTATCATGCCGATTCACTGTGGGAGAGGAAATTGTCTTATTAAAGTTGGCATGTTCTGTTGTAGTAGCTGTTTGCTGCTTTCCTTTCAAGAGTCACAGTTGTATTGCAGTGTGTTCTTGGACACACAAATCATTTGATTCTTTTGGTTATGAAGCTTTCAGCGCACACATAAATACAAGAAGACACGTAATAATAATAAGGCTAATGGATAAAAATAACAAAACATGTACATAAACAGAATTAGAGCAGTAAAATGGTAGATTAAAAGAGCGCTTATTGTGTTATGTAATAAAATAAAACAGTGTGACCAATTAATGATATTAGATTCTCTTATGGGGAAAATAATAAGCTGTTTTGCCTACAGTATTTCTATATGTAAATAACCGGTGTTATGACTGGTTAAAATTTGTACTGGAATAATCAATATAGTGGCTAATCTTTAAAAATGGTAGGAAGCTTGTCCTGAGAGCACTCTAGTACAGTGTTTCTCAGCCACGGTCCCGGAGGACCACCAACACTGCATGTTTTGGATGTCACCTTACAACCCTTACAGGTCTTTAAGTCTCTGCTAATGAGCTGATGATCTGAATCAAGTGTGTTTGGTTAAGGAGACACAGGCTGTTTCTCAATATGTGTTCTTCAGCGATCCTTGCGTGACATCATCATCAACCGCTAAAGTTCCCAAATGTGTTAATGATATCAAGGATGTTCAGTTTAGCATGGTTGATCAGTGCTGATGACAGTTCCAGATACCGTTCTTCCAATAGTGATTGTAACCAGTGCTTAACAGCTAACCAAAATTTACGAACCTTTGCATTTAAGGTAAATTCAGAGTTACCATTCAATAATAGCAGTACAGGAGCTTTGGGAAAACTAGTTTTTGCAACTTTGAATAAAATGTCCTGCACTAAATCTCAAAGTTTTTGCACCGCCGGACATTCCCACATCATATGCAAAAAGGTATCTGGACACTGTAGTTCACAGAACTCACAATAAGGATGTGAAGATAAAACCATGATATGTAGTATTCATGTAGCTAAATACACCCTGTGAATAGTTTTAAAGTGAGTGAACTGGTGAATGGGGTTTGTGGAAGTGTGGAATGTATTTCACAGAGTTTTCCAATATGAAATAAGTTTATATTATGTTCAAATATTAGTAATTGTAAAGTAAAATTGCCCTTAATCAATTAGAATTTAATCTTTTAAATGGAATAATTTAAGGATGTTTACAATTATTAATTGAATTATTAAGCAAATTAAATGATGCACTCAGTTAAATTAATATGATTTAATCCATTTTGTCAAATTTCCATAATAATTATTCTTTTTATTATTTACTCTGAAATTAATTGTTAGTAGTAATATTTTTATTTCATCATTCTAATTTAGATTAATTTAAGTTATTGAACTTTAATAAATAATAATTAATACATTTAAAGTACATATGAAATAGCACATTGCACACACTATATTTGCAGACAAATGGAAGAAGCTGGAGCGGCTAGTAGAATGTGCTCCATTAATCCAATCTCAAATAATGAAATAAAATCACCTTGTAATTTTTCGAGAGTGCATTAGTACCTGTATGTGACCATTCAAGTTCTCCCCCTTTGTTTGCAGTAGAGAATGGACATGTAGTTTTTATGGCTTTACATGTTTCTGAGAAAGACACACAAGTCACACATACCTGGCAGCAATCTGCTGATTCTGTCTCTAAAATCCTTATTAGATCTTTTTTTTGCTCTTGCTTTTTTTCCATCTCTCTCCAAATTTGAGCAGGACAGCACAGAATGTAATAGATTCAGCTTTCTTTATTGCATCTAATTGGATTACCTCCCCAGCCATCTCTCTCTCTCACACACACACACACACACACACATGCACACACACACAAAGAGAGAAGGGAGAGAGAGAGGTAGATGGCACAGGGCAGCGAGTGTCTTCTGTTGAGAGCTCTATTAATAGTACATCCCTTATACACTGGCTTGTTTATGTGTGTGCGCTGGAGAGAGTGTGAGGTGTGTTGCTGTGGTGATGTGCTGCTGACATGTGCGCTGTGTATGTGTTTTGAACAGAAAAAGGCAGAGGAAGCTCACCGGATCCTGGAGGGACTCGGACCCCGAGTAGAGCTGGTGAGTCCACATTTGTCTCCTTATTTCTGCTGCTTTCACACATCAACTGTCTTCCTTTGGCTTCAGTGTTTTCTATTAGAAAGAGCTTATGGCATTAGCTGGTGCTGATTGAGTAAATATGAATTGTATGACAGTTTTTAGTATTCACACAATGTCATTTGAATCAGCGCTTATATCAGTTTGTCTTCATTTTATGCCATCATAACATTATCTAAAATCATTGAGCTGATTTCTAAATGATTTGCATTACATTAAGTTTAATGTGATATTAAAAAGTCACTTGATGTGTATGAATAGCTACAGTAACATGACCTCCACAGTGTGAAATAGGAGCTCCTTCAGCCTGTAAGTCTGTGTGTGACTACATGCACTGCTGCCTGTTTGTTTACAACATGGCTGTTGACCTCCTGCAGATGAGTTTGCAACAGCGCTCAGCATCCATTAGCTTAGCTCAAGCAATTAGTCAACATTTTCAAATGACAATGTCCACAATAGAAATTTGTTGACAAATGTTATTGAATAGTCATTTGATCACATGCAAGGGCAAGCAATATCACATTTGACCACTACAGCACTGTGGCGCTAGTGTAATTCAGCCTTCCTTAATGCTAATGAAGAAACAAACAGCACTAGTTATGATGACTGAGTGCAAGCGTTTCTGATTTAGTATCTGTGGGAAAGTTTTACAAAACCTAAAACTGAGGATGCCGTAGTTTGCAATGTATCCAAGGTGGAACTTGCTTTTCATGGTGCACAATCAGCATTTGGCTTGGGCGGTAATATGGTATACCGTGGGATCTAAAAATAGCAAGGGTATCAGTTTAAAAACCGTTATACTGTCATATATAGGAAACAAGGTTTATATATTGAATATAATTCTACTTTTCAAGCTGTTTGGACAGACATATGTGTAGGTATAGTGTGTAGACTGTCATATTGGGGTGATATAAACACACCCAGTCCTTTTTTATTTTATTCAATTTAACAACATAAATTCAATGGACCATTTGGAGGGGCTTTGAGATCAACCACAACTTGATGTAGGAGCGCTGTCCCCCCGCCCACCAATATTGATTGACAGGCGCGCATCACCAAATCCTGCTTGTTGTTTCACATTTGCAATTTTCAGTGTGTGATTCAAAGCGATGTCACCAAAGAAACACTCTTGCTCTGTATTTAGATGCAAAGCTCATTGGGCTCAACACAAGATCAACATTCACCACATAATCGCTCTCATCTGCGCCATTGTTTGTAACTTTAGGTGGGTGTGCAAATGTGTACTTTTCATCGCGTCTTCCTTAAACTTCAGCCGTTTGCATTTCCCGCGGTCACAGAAGCTCCCTGTCATCTTAACGCGTTGCCTTATGTGCGCGTCCCTCAAGTGGAAATAACAAACTTGCCTTAAGCAGGTCGCTCACCTGAAGCACTACTCGGGTACAAACACCGGCACCGTAAGTCGGCGGCTGTCCGCGGTGCCCAGCCACAACTCGGGATACTGTTCATATTTCTGCCGTGCCACAGAACGGCATCTGAAAAGTTTCATTTTAAAAAAACATGCGAATATGCACGTCTGGTAGGCTGTGTCACGGCATCCAGTGTGTGTGATGCCTTTTAGTTATAGCCTGAGTCAAAGTTAATTCAGTGTGCGTGGTTCTTAGTTTCGGTGTGCAAGTTTGGAACTTTAAACTAGCAAACAGTTGGCTGTAAACCATACAAAGACACAAACGATTTTGTAGTCTTTGCTTAATATGTGTGCGGGTCATACATGTACGACTGAATGCTGGTCCTCTCACTCATGTTGCTTCACTCTGTCTGCTGCCACACAAAAGGGGAGAGCTCTTGGCTCCACTAACTTGTTAAGTTGGGCGGGAAGTCAAAACTCATTTTCATGTGAAGCAACGCACCCATAAAAACAACGACCTGTGTACACGCCCCCAAAATGACACTTTTTACCACATTATAATAATAAAAAAAAAGATGTGTGCTTTGAACTGAACCATAATATTAATATTCAATCTTAAATAAGGGGTAAACTAGGTGCCCTTTAATACCTAAAAACAGCATCACAGGACAGCGTGGAGAAGAAAGGGAAAGGTGGGGAAAGATGGCGAGTCGTGCACCAAGTGACTTGGTCTAGAAAAAGAACAAAACTTTTGCAGTTCGGCAGTATTTCGGGTTTCAACCGAACGAGAATGGAGAGGTGGTAAATACGGAAGACGCAATTCGCAAGTTGTGCAGCAAAAAGGTGACCGCGAGAGATGAAATTCCTTAAACCAGGGTGTCCAAACTCAGTCCTGGAGGGCCGGTGTCCTGCAGATTTTAGCTTCAACTTGCCTCAACACACGTGCAAGGATGTTTCTAGTAAGCCTAGTAAGAGCTTGATTAGCTAGTCCAGCTGTGTCTGATTGGGGTTGGAACTAATCTTTGCAGGACATCGGCCCTCCAGGACCGAGTTTGGGCACCCCTGCCTCAAACCAAACCTGGGGTTGCATATATCGTATTTGGTTTCTAAATGGTTTAGGCACAAGCCAACAGTTTGATGACGCTGTCTGAGTCTTACATCATAATTGTTTATTATGCATGGTAATACCGTATATCAAGATAAAAAAGGGAGGAGGTTTGATGGCATCAAAACCTGGATACCACTCAAGCCTAATCTGCATGTGGTCCAAGCTAGTGATGCAAGGATCTCAGTTATATATGCTGGTTGGCCAGGTGAAGTAATCAAAAAGGACATTTTTATTAGTTGCGAATGGATATGGTCATACATTTTGTAAACATTAGCTACAGTCTCAATAATAAAAAAAAAAGTGTTTTCAAATCTTTTTTTTTTTTTTTTTTTTTTTTAAACCAGGGAGATAGACACTAACATGCAGACTCTGACTCTAATGCGAAATTGATCAGAGAGAAAATAAAAAGGGAGAATTAAAAACAAATAAGAAGGGAAAGAAAAGCAGTGTGCTGGCTTAGTGAAGTGGTTAAATTCAGTGCTTGGGTTGAAAATAGGATTTAACTTGTGTGTTACAATGACAGCAACATACACTCTTTAAAGCAATGGTATCAATCTCAAATCCTGGAGGGCCGCAGCTCTGTTTAGTTTAGGTTTAACCACCTCCAACTCACATCTGCTTTATAGGCTCTAGTAGTCTTGAACACCTTGATTAGTTAGTCAGATGTGTTTGATTAGTGTTGGAGAAAAATTGCAGAGCTGCAGCCCTCCAGGAATCCAATCTGAGACCTATCATTTAAAGGGGTAGTTCACCCAAAAATACAAATTGTCATCATTTTCTCACCCTTCACTTGTTCCAAACCTGTTTGGCTTTCTTTTTTCTGTTAAATACAAAATAAGCTATTTTGAAGAAAGCTGGAAAACTTAAGCCATTGACTAGTATTGTTTACAGGTTTGAATAATAACTCAAAAGTGTTTGGAACCATTTTAGGGTGAGTAATAGTGTATAAATATACATTTTTAGGTGAACTATCCCTTTAACGTTACTTAATCTGCTGTTAAAAATGAACAGTCCACATCGAGTAATGTGACAATCTGCTGTGGATATCTGTATCAGAGAAAATAATAGGTGCGGGTGGATGATTTGTTTTGAGCAGAGGATTCGGGTGACATTCAAGCTGATCAAGTTGTTAATGTTCTTCAGCTTTCGCTAACTAGCGTTAAATCTTTTTATTAGACTGTAATAGCAATACTAATAATAGTTATGATAACAAGAACAATATAATTACAGTAATGTTCTCAAAGTTTTGCAAGCTCGTCAGACCTCAGGAGATTATTGTAACAACATTAGCTGTTAAAGGAGAGGAAAGTGATGATAAGAGGGGACACTGATAGGAGTCTTATGCCTTGCCTTTATTTTCTTTAAAAAAGGAGATGTTAGGAAGACTGACATCATATCAATTACTTATAAGCTACTTTTTCACCTAAAGAAAATAAAAAAAAGTTAAAGAATGAGATTATTTGTGTGATTTGAGATGAAGTTCTGTCGGTTTAAAGTTCATTAAACCAACTAAAGTGATTTTTTTCTAATTTTTAGAATGTGTGTAACTCAGTGTTTTAACTTGTTGCTGAATAAAAGCTGAATAATCATTCAAAACCTGTTTTGTAGTCATTGACATCAATGATTGATTATTGAATTGTTCAAATAATTGTTCATTGATTATCAAAATGATAATTTTTTTCAATCCTATTAGAAGCCAGACAGGTAGTGATCATCGAGTACATTTGCATGGACACCAATAATTCAATTTTAATAAAACTAAAACTAAATTTTAACAATTAAGACAATACATGACAATGCGTTATCATAATAATGTACAATGATGAGTCTACCATGTAGACATCATTTTATTATTATTATTATTTTTTTATTTATTTAATTCAATTAAGGTCATAATGGAACCAAACAGAAATCAGATTAAGACATGTGGCGAATGCTGGTTTTAGTCGCATTATTAATGCGCAGTATAGACATGTAAACACCTGAATCAAACTATTACCATTGTGTAGGATTTTCGCCGCATTTTGCCACAGGATATTTCATACACACAACTGTTTGACACTGTTCTCATCACCAACAGTCAGAGTCAGTGAAGGACCACAGACACACAAATCACGAAACGTAGAGTCCCCCCCCCCCATACGACATGCGGTATCAAATTCCATTGAAACAACACTCTTCCAGCAGTTCATACTCGCATCCAATATCTTGTTTGTCACAGGGGACATGCATCAGTGGCGTAGCGGATCATGCCCCGCATGATTAGGGGGCCCCGCGTCGTCGCGATTTTTAATAATTGATAATCCGGCAACCGCAATTATCAAACTCTTGGGAACAACTGTGGTCGGAACCAAAGTTCACAGGTCTGTGTTCTCTGAACACCTCTCAAGCGGTGGACTACTTCATTCTGATTGCTTGCTGCCAATGTTGCCAACTTAACGACTTTGTCATTAGATTTAGCGACTTTTCAGACCCCCCTAGCGACAAATCTAGCGACTTTTTTGTGTGTTATTGGAGATTTTTTTGGTAGACTGTCATTCGTCCATACTGTACCGTCCCTACTCTTCTCAACTAGCTGTGTGTGATGCCACCGGCCCCTCCTCCGCCTCACAGCACTGACAGGCGGCTCAGTCAGTCCTCTACAGCAGCCTCTCCCACCTGCAGCCCGAGAGCAGATCACCCCTCTGCGTACCGGTGACAAATGATTTAGCACAGGCAGTGTGAAGGTATTTCCCTTGTACAGTCAAACCGATCTACTTCTCCTTTATTTTAACAATTTAATTGGACCGTTTATTCTTTTTTTTGTTTACAATCACAGATATTTTAGTGACAGTTTCTGAACTTGTCTGAGTTTATTACATATGAGAGATTACTGCACATTCACTACACATCTATAATGACATACTGTATTCAAACAGCAATACATTTAGTTAAATAAACATGCTTATATAAAGTGTAGTGCAATTATAAATACCCCTTTAGTAACCATAGGCTGTTAAACAAACAGAAACGGTAGAACGTGATGACGTCAGTGATATGCAAATTGACGTATGACGTAGCTCCCCCCCACCCCCCCACCCCCACTTCATCAGGGGGCCCCATCAGCGATCCCTGCAGGGGGGCCTCCGCATCTCCGCTACGCCACTGACATGCATGAAATGTTTCTGAATGAAAGTGAAAGTGCCAAACTGCAGTTTAAGTCAACAAAATTTAAGTGAAACACCCGAAATTACGTGAAACTCCAGAAGAAAAATGTGGATATCTTGATAAAGCAATGACATTAATCGAAATTATGTGCTAAAACATGTAAAATAGGATCATGACAGGACCATTCAATAAGCAACTCATGTAAAAACCTTAATCATATTATTGTCTTATTCAGATTAAGGCAAATCATTTGATTCCTGATGTCCATGTAAACATGGTCATTGTCTTGATAACAGAGTTGATACATCAGCCGTTCACATCACAGCCTCCTGTTACAGAGGAAAGACACACTGCCACATGCCCTGCTTTCCCCGAGGAAAAATCCTTCGCTTGACATCTCAAATGAGTCCGTGATGGTGATAACAGAAGGTTTTTGGTTTGTGGTGTTAGAGAGGACACCCTTTTCTCGGTTCTGGGCTTGGCTGAAAAATGGGACTGTAGGAAAAGAGAAGTTCTCCCAGAGCCGGGCTCCCTTGATGAGAATGCGGTGTGTGTATGTACAGCATGTGTGAGTGAGAGAGAGAAACTGAACTCTACTGCTTTCATCTGTCTCCCCTACAGCCTTTGTACAACCAGCCATCTGATACCAAGCAGTACCATGAGAACATCAAAATGTGAGTGCACCTTTTGCTCTTTTCTTTAAAATCATGATCAACTTACATCTTGTTTGTCTGCTCAGTTTAGAGGAGGGTTTGTATTTATTGAAGGATGGAGAGCTTGAATTGGGCACACACCTATGATCAATTCAATATAATATAATATAAAAAAACAGCACTGGGGAAGTTCATTTTCTACTGTTTTTATTTAGTAGGGCTGTTTTGGTACATCAAAATTATGGCTTTATAGTCTTGATTTAGTATGATTTCAATATTGTACTTTCAAAAGCAAAAAAAAAAAAAAAAACATTTGCGACTGTCGTCAAGTAAAATAAATGATAATTACACCGGTCTTAAAGTTTTAAGAAATCTACCCCAGCTAATACTGTAAACTCTGCCATGAACATAAGGAGATGTATTTCTGGCACATAACTGTAATGTTGAAGGCTGCAATAAGCAAGCAGCTCAAACTCGATTGGGTTTTATATCTACTGCTGTAATGAAAACACAAATAAAAAGTAGGAATGCACTGAATTTCCAGCTGCCGATAATAACACTGAATAGCGCTACTGTGCTTTCATGACAATGCTGGAAAAATGACACCTCTCTATTCGTTCACTGTTAGTAAAATTTACTTTCGGTGAACTGTAGTGATTTTATTAGCTTGTATATATATTTTTTTAAGTCTAATTAACTTTTATTAAGTATAATTAACTATTGAGTTAAATGTTTTTTTGTACAAAATCACTTTATATTACTTAATAAAGTAATACATAATGTTAAAAAACTTTTTTTTCCAATTTTTGGCTTCACCCCCTGTTTAAGTTAGGCGGGAAGTCGAAACTAATTTTCATGTGAAGCAACGCATCCATAACAACAACGACCTGTGTTCACGCCCCCAAAATAACACTTTTTAAAATTTTTTTTAACACATTATAAAAAAAAAAAATGTTTGTGTTTTGAACTGAAGCTAAACTGGCACACTCAGAAGAACCATAATATTAATATTAAATCTTAAAAAAGGGGTAAACTAGGTGCCCTTTAATACCTAAAAACGGCATCACAGGACAGCGCGGAGGAGAAAGGGAAAGGTGGGGAAAGATGGCCAATAGCATCTAGTGCAGTCTGCATAGATCTGCTAAATTGTTATATATATTTTTTTACACAATTCAGTGCAGAAATAGCAAAAACAGTCTGCAGATTCTGTCTGGCCTTGTGCTTAAGGCATTTTTGTTATCTTTTTGTTACTCTTAAGTCTGATTATATAATAGTTTCTCTGCATTTTGTGTGTTAATACAAAGTAATGCACATAAGATCTTCCATTTCTTGTTTTCATGAGACATTTATTTAGACATACATTAGTACAAAACATCACTGGCACTATAAAACTAAGTAAAAAGGAAGAAATTGTTTTGTTCAAAGTAATCAGATAAAATAAACGATTTTAAAATGACTTGATTTCTAATTGAAAGTAAAACAAAATCTGTGTCTGAATTGAACGACCATAAATGACTCGTTTCCACTGAGTGGTACGGTTCGGTTCGGTAAGCTTTTAAGGCTGTTTCCACTGTGAAAAGGTACTAAAAACCGAACCGTATTACCTAGCACAACAAAAGGGTACCAAAAGGTGGAGCAAGGTGCACAGATGATTGCTATTGGTTTACAGAGATACGTCACTAGATTGTGCTCAAGCCAGGAGAATGACAACAAAGGAAGTGCCATTTTTAAATACACAGCCGAGACATTACACTGTAATAATATATACATATAATAACAAGCCATGGTCGACCCGAGCTCAAACAAACCTTGTTGTCGTCTTGATAAACAGCCACAAAGCCAAGAAAAAGAGCAGAATCTATCCTGTGCCCCATTGTTGTTTACAAGGGCGTCTAAAGCGCGAGCTGATTCACTTTCGAGATAGAGAGAGAGAGAGAGAGCGTGCACATCTATATTTGAAATAGAGAACTTCTTGCTCATGATAATAACATGTGCATGATTATTAAAGTGCTTCTGACATCTATCTAAAATGGACAAACGCGAGTGAAGCGTGAAAAAAACAAATGAGCAAATGATTCTTTCAGCAACCTAAAACATGAACAAACTGCTGTGTTTAACTATTAGCATTAGCTTTTGGACTATTTTAATTTCGGAATGACATAATTACTTTCTAACAGAGGTTACATGTGCTGGTGAAGATCAAAGACACAGATCAGAGGTTTGCACTGACTGTAGGCTTTATGTTGCGTGCTGTTTTTGAACCCAAATAAGGACTAAATGTATGCTGTGTGCAGTTTTTCTGTAATTGGTAACACATCGGTGACCGTAAGGGTCTGTATGTGTTCATATACAGTATGCTACATTTATTTATTTATTTTGTATAATTGCAAACGTTACAGTAGGCTATTTCATTATTATCATTGATTTGCAGTTATAAGCACATCATGTTCATAGAAAGGTTAGTTAATGGATCTTTACCGTATAAACAAGTGTTTGTGTATAAAGCATCTGTTTTGTGAGAAGTGCTTCTCATATGATATGTGAACGACCCATGCAGCTTTACCTTGACATTTCTTTGAGCGAGAATGACATTGACTTAACTTTGTCATACACCACGCCTTCCATTGATAGCCTTTTGGCAGTGAAAACGCAAGTCTGATAAAGGTGACCCGTACTGACCCATACCGTACCACTTAGTGGAAACGGGTCAAAAGTACTACTAATTTTTACGACAAATACTTATTCAGTTATACTTCTATTCTTTAGCTGCTTGTTCATTCGTTTAGTCCCTGTTGAATCTTCTTTAATGCAAAATGTTGTGTTTTTGATTGCACAACTCACAAAATCATAAAATGTTATCGTTTATTGTGATGCAACAAATCCCCTACCTCCATTCTTTCTCATTGGTCTTATTTCAGTCAAGCAGACAAATTTGGCAGAAACAGAGAGAAAAATATGGCCTATTTAAGCTTGTCTTTAAAGTTTTTAGTCAGTCTTTTATCAACCCAAGTAGCATCAGTGGGAAGTATGTGTGCAAGAGGTGATGTGTGGGTAGATCATGGGCATTTCAGTCTCTCTTGCACGGAAGCTAATCCTGCTGCCATCTGCTGTGTAATGCAGCACTACCTCTGCACATACACACTTTATCTCACTCACATGAATACATGCAACAGTAATGCTTCTCATTCAGTGCTCATGATGCCAGTATGAGAGGTATCTGACCCCAGGCTGATTTCCCTAATTATGTAGACATAAACACACAGTTTGTGCCAAGACCACAGTTTGTGTATGCGCCCACACACCGACATGTAGGACTCCGTAATGCAGGATGAGACTAGATTAATGCTTGTGACCTCCAGTGTGAGAGGTCAGTGGCCAGGAATTAATCGGTACAGCGTGACAGAATTAAAGCTGATTACTAAGCTGACCTGTATTACTTGTTAACTTTCTCTCAAACACAGATGTTACAGTTCAAGCGTTTAGGGTCTGTATTATGCTTGTCTTTTAAGGTTGCATTTCATTTATCTAAATTTATTTCATCATAAAATGAAAAAATACTGTTATATGTACTGTTACATATGTTATACAATCTTAAAAAAAAAAAATGTATACTACTAATAATTTTACAATTTTACAGCATCCAATTCTATAAATCATTAAGATGCTGTTTTTAGTGTAACTTCTTTTCTTATAAGAATGTCTTATAGATCTACTAGCCATGATGAGTTAATCTTTAAATGATTAATTTGTTGATTATTTCTTTAGTTAATTAATATGTCAAACCCCTAATATTATTCATTACAATTGTATATTTATAAGGAAAAAAGTATTTAATCCAAATTTCAAATATTATTTAAACAATGTTCACTGGCCATTTTATAAGGTACACCTGACCAACTGCTCGTTAATGCAAATTTTTAATCAGCCAATCACATGGCAGCAGCTCAATGCTTTTAGACATGTAGACATGGTCAAGACGATCTGCTGCAGTTCGAACCAAGCATCAGAATGGGGAAGAGGGGATTTAAGTGACTTGAACATGGCATGGTTGTTGGTGCCAAGCGGGCTGATCTGAGTATTTCAGAATTTGCTGATGTCTACTGGAATTTTCACGCACAACCATCTCTAGGTATTACAGAGAATGGTTCGAGCTGATGGAAAGGCAACAGTAATTCATATAACCACTCGTTACAACTGAGGTAAGCAGAAGAGCATTTCTGATCACACAACACGTTGAACCTTGAAGCAGATGGGCTACAACAGCAGAAGATCACACCGGGTGCCACTATTGTCAACTAAGAACAGGAAATTGAGGCTATAGTTTGTGTAGACTCACCAAAATTGGACAATAGAAGATTGAAAAACTTTGGCTGGTCTGATGAGTTTTGATTTCTTTTGCACATTCGAATAGTAGAGTCAGAATTTGACATCAGCAACACGAAAGCACGGATCCATCCTGCTTTGTATCAACTGTTCAGGGTGGTGGTGGTGTAATTGTATTTTTGGCACACTTTGGGGCCATTAGTACATATATAGCATCATGTCAACGGCACAGGCTACCTGAGTATTGTTGCTGACCATGTCCATCCATTTATGACCACAGTTTACCCCTCTTCAGATGACAACTTCCAGCAGAATAACATGACAATGAGTTCACTGTATTTAAATGGCCTCCACAGTCACCAGAGCTCAATCTAATAGAGCACCTTTGAGAAATTCACATCATGGATGTGCAATCGACAAATCTGTAGCAACTGTGTGATGCTATCATGTCAATATGGACCAAAATTTCTGAGAATTATTTCCAGTACCTTGTTGAATCTATGGCACAAAGGATTAACGCAGTTCAGAAAGCAATAAGGGGGTCCAACCCGATACTAGTAAGGTGTACCTAATAAAGTGGCCAGTGAGTGAATATAGTGAACATTTTTGTCGGCTGTGTTAAGATCTTTAGAAAAAAAATTATGACTTGATTATATAAAGGAGACAAACTGAAATGAAAATTGTGTACTGAGGAAAACACATCCTGATGTTTCACGCACATTTGTTTAAAGTGCCTAACATGAAGCGTTCTCATATTTAGGTCAACTTACTTGTGCACTTTTCCCAAAGCAGCTCACTTTCTGTCCACTCCTTTGTCATATACAATGTGGCTATTGAAAAGTGGCATGCTATTAATCATCAGTAATTTCTTTATATTATAGATTGCTTGTTGCAGCCCTAGTTTCTTTTAAATCTAGGCTTTATGCTTTTCCCTTGGTAAACAGTAAAACAAGCAAAAAGAAATACAAACCACAATTTCTCTGTCACTTATTGCATTTTTTCTTTGATTGGATAGATCTGATCATGAAAAGACCTGGTGTAAATAACCTCTAAAATGCTATCGAGATGGACACAGGATAAATCTGACTGTTCGAACCACTTCAGGAGGTGGTTTGGGAAGCATTCCAGACAAAACTAGACTAGTCTGATCTAAATGCATCTAGATGTTAAAAACATGTACATTTTACTCCTCTCAAAATGTTAAAAAACAATAAACGAGAGTGTGTAGTACAGTAGATGCATCAGGTCAAATGCAAAAGCAGACGACATTTTTTAATGTTTGTTTCATTTAAAAAAAAAATTAAGTTTCATTGTATTTTTGACCAGTCATTAATTGTTAAATGATAAGCTTAAACTGAAATTAATTCCAAATGGCATCATAACAAGAGATGCATCAGATGTTCAGTGCATGAAGAGAAAAAACAATAGATAAATATAGCATTTATTTTGTTTACAAAGGTAGAGTGACGTGCTTTACGGAGAGTAAAGGTCATAAACAAATTGACGTAAGCCCTTTACAGTTTTGAATGATGCCTTGCACGTATATGTAGGACAAAAATAGATGTTTCATTTAGCACGTAATGACCGTAATCACGGAGCCTGCATTGTGCACTTGTTGTAATGGTGTACTGGAACACAAGTGAAGTACAAAAGCCTCCTGTAGCCTACATACAATTTGTTAGGCGAAAAAGAAGTATAGCAAGTATAGATAAGATGCATCAATTTCTTTTTATCTCTTCTCTCTTCCAGAAATCAGGCAATGAGGAAAAAGCTCATTCTCTATTTCAAAAGAAGAAATCATGCTCGCAAACAGTGGGTAAGTGATGACGTTTAAACACCTGAACATGAATGATGGGCACATTTCTATCAGTTCTAATATCGCTCTTAATTCACAAGGTGCCCATGTCATTGTAGTGGTTAAGAAACACACTGGAACTTGTTAGTTATTTGGTTAATTTTAATCTTTTCTCTCTGATAATGTACCCCAATTTTGACTAAAAGACCATGCATTTTGCCTGGTGTATTCAGGAACAGAAGTTCTGCCAGCGCTATGACCAGCTAATGGAGGCCTGGGAGAAGAAAGTTGAGCGAATCGAGAATAACCCACGACGCAGAGCCAAAGAGAGTAAAGTGCGGGAGTACTACGAAAAGCAGTTTCCTGAGATCCGCAAACAGAGAGAGCTGCAGGAGCGCATGCAGAAGTGAGTAGTCGTGCGCCGTCTTGCTCAACTACTTTGAGTCTATTTATTTGCATATGTAAATGTATATTTATTCAGTTTTTATTACAATTTCAGTAATATGATTGAATGAAATGCAGATCTTTAGATGATTTATGCACAATTTTAGTTTACACGTTAATATTTTCTGTCTTTTTTAGTAGATGTATTATATAAAAGACCTACTGTAGCTTTGCTTACCTAACAAGTGGTTCTAATTAGGTTTGCATTGTAAACCTTAAATAAAAAGTTCTATTTTTTTAATTTCAGGTGTAAGGTTTTAGTTACTATACTCCCAAAGTCATTTTGTATAAATCTACAAATTTTTAAAACAGTTTTGAGCAGAAATAGCAAAAATAGTCATCAGATTCTTACTGGTTCTGACATTTGCATGGCTCATTTTAATCTTGTGCTTTATAGAAGTGTGTTTATATCTTTGTTTGTGTATTTGTCTGCAGTAGAGTGGCTCAGCGTGGTGGGGGTCTGGCCTCGGCAGCCCGCAGTGAACATGAGGTTTCTGAGATCATCGATGGCATCTCAGAGCAGGAGGTACGAGCGCAACTTAAGTGAACTCTCTGTGTTTTCTATGTTGCTTTTCAGTGCAATTCACCATTTCAGTTAGACCTTCAATATCTGCAGTCAAAACAGTAATTCAGTTTATTAATAAACACTTGGTAGTAGAGGTCTGCACGGGACTCTTTTAAAGAAATTTTAAGGTTTAATGGAGGGTTTTACACTTGGTTCAATTGCCTCGACCCTACCTAAGTTCGATTGTCCCCCCCCTTGCCTCCTTCTCGGTTGGTTTGTGTTCACACTGTCTTTTTCCTTCTGAACCCTGTTACACTTGCGTCGTCTAGCTGCTGTTTTGTTTACGGTCGTTGGTAGGTGACGGTCACGCAAGCAAGCGCCGAATTGGAAAGACTTCCGCACATCGCGGTCATTCTGCTTTTACTGTTGCTTTTAGTTTTGGACAAACAGAAAGCGACTCGCATGCATCTGCCGCAAAAATATTATAAACATTCAGAACATCACACAGTGTCTGCAGAAGCTGTTTTTGGAGGAGACAACCAGACATCACTGTGTATCTCTGTGTTTGCCCTGGCTCAGTCCCGCGCGTGTCACCAGGGTATGAGACATGACACACACACAACGAACGAACGAACTTTATGAAAAGGATAGTTTGTTGTACAGTTGGAGGTTCACTTCCGTTATTTGGTACGATTGCATTCAGAATTGGTACGATTGGTACGATTGCATCAGAAGGAATTGTACTGGAGTTTGCATGTTCAGGCGGACTCGGGTACGGTTCACGGGTGGGCACCCAAGTTTAGAAGACACGTTCACACTAGCTAAACGTACCGTACTATGACGTCAAACGAACCCGGGTGCAGACCAAAAGTTCTAGTGTGAAAGCACCCCATTCCGCTACCGTCCACTCCTGCTTTGAGCTAATTATTATGCACCAACCTGTGAGATCTCTTCGCTCTATGGATCGTCTCTATTTGCAAGTTCCTAGATCACACTTAAAATGTCGAGGTGATAGAGCTTTCTCGGTAGCAGCTCCAAGACTCTGGAACGATCTCCCACTCTCTTTAAGCACAGCTCAAACTTTGAGTCTTTTCAGAGGTCACTGAAAACACACTTATTTTCTTTAGCTTTTAATCATGTGATATGAGTTTATGTATTTTGGTTTTATGTATATTTTACATGCTTTTCTATTTGATTTTTTGTACAGCACTTTGGTAATCCATTGTGATTTGTAAAAGTGCTATAGAAATAAAGTGAGTTGAGTTGAGTTGAGAGTTATTCCTCACCCAACTGCTTCTGCTATTTATTCATTCTTTGTTAACCCACTATCCATCTAAGACAGTTTTTATCCTGATCCAACCATTCCTATAAAATTTAAATGTCATTTTCACATCCTACATTTAAATTTTCACTAGCTGCTAAAGGGTGTTTACCTGACATGACTCCATTGATGATGCGCAAATTTCAAATGTAGGGCAGGAAGTCATTCTTTTACATAGGAACCACTATCAGAACATTACAATCTTTTTTTTATGTTGTTTTTAATTGTTTAAATCGGCCAAAATAAGAAATGCCGAACAGCTTTTGCAGACTTTCTAAGGTTTTTGCTCAAAAAGGGGAGAAAGTTCAAGAAACTGGCTGAAAAACATTTGGATGGAAAATTTATTTTTCAATACAATATTGTCTACAAACTTTTTTTTGAACGCGAGAATTCATTTGACTGCACCAATAAAGATTATTTATAGGCCTAGCTGTGTATAAATATGCTAATGAAAAGCAAGTGACAAATAGAGAGAGAAAAGCATTTGCCAAATGCTTTTTTAAAAAGCCATTTAAATTGTGCATTTACTGTAAGTGTATTTTAAATTAACTATATATAATATATATATTAATCTATATAATGTGATTTATATTTATAAAAAATACTATTTATACATCTGAAGCTATTTATAATTGCGTTGTTTTATTGCTTTATTAAATGACTTTTAAAAACACAGTTTAATTGAACACATTTAAATATGTCTATTTATTTGTCCAATATTTGTTCATTTAAATTGTGATTTATTTAAACACTTTTTTATGCTTCAGTTATTAAATTCTTACTTTTATTTTTAACCGGCAGTCCCGGTCCTCCATACATTAAGACACACAATACACTATTAAAAAGTTACATTATAAAACCGTTTATTCAGTTTTTAATCACAATGTAACTGTTTTTCTGTTTTCATTCAAGCAGATGCAGCCTTGATGAGCATTGATCACATATGTTGAGCCTTAATGATACTTTTAAATTCTAAGAAACAAAAACTGTAAAACAGACAGCGTATTCTTCAGTGTAAAATGTGCACAAATACCAAAGTGCCTTCACATATCAAGGTCTGAGGCACAACCAATTTGGTTTTATGGCTGATGGACTCTACACAGAAACAAGATTCAGTGGCATATTTGCTGACCACCTCTGCCATTCTTTTAGCATCACTCTTTTTTTTCTCTCTCTTTCCATTTCATGTTTGTCTCTTTCTTGCTGCAGAACTCTGAGAAGCAGATGCGTCAGTTAGCTGTGATTCCTCCCATGCTGTTTGATGCCGAACAGCAGAGGATAAAGTTCATCAACATGAATGGGCTGATGGATGATCCTATGAAGGTCTACAAAGACAGACAGGTCATGAACATGTGGAGCGAACAGGAGAAGGACACCTTCCGTGAGAAGTACGTTCTGTGCTTTCAGTGTGGAAGTGCATTTTCATTTTTCACCAAGGGATAAGGAGTTATGAAATCTGTTCTTAGATGAATCAGCATGTGGTTTAGCATCTACCGCTTTGTTTTAAATGGATCAGCAGTTTATTTGCTTGTGGTCGTGTTTGATAGTTGGTTAGTGGTGCAATACTAGGTTAGACGAAGTATGGTTACTTTAGAAAATGTCTCCAGTCCTCTACAGGCCAACAGAAATATTACTTTGCCTAAAGAAAAACAAAATATTGTTTCAGAATGATTTGCACCAAAAAGCACCAAAACATTTGAATGAGTGGAATGACTAATAAACGATTCCGAGTTAGTCATGAAAAGACTGAAATGTGTATGTGTAGCGTGGGAATTCGTTGGCATTTGGAAAAGAAAAAACTGTTCCATTATTTGTTGTCAACATTTTAAAACTAAAAAACTCAGAAGGTGTTCGCAAATGAGCAGTGTTTTGTTAGTCAACACTGAAAATTCACTAAACCAATTTGAAACTGTGGCCGCTCAAGAAGTCCCTCAGAAATATACTGATGTGACCAACAGATTTTCTTGGGAATTTCTGGGTCATGTCAGTATGAATCCACCTTTCATATTGATATGACTCAGTAATTCCCATGATAATGGTGATTTTAAAAAAAGTAAAAAAAAAAAATAAATAAAAAAACCCTCTGTTAATATGCCTTTTTAAGTATAATTAAATGAAATTATCAAAATGCCAAATTTTGAATAAAAATCCCTTTAAAAAAAGAAGAGTTTTAATGCTCGATTGAAGTTTTTTGCAAAAGGTGGTTAATGTGAATAATGAGAAATGGAAATGTATTTGCTGAATAAACTCTGATGTAGTGAGTATTACACCCATGCGACTAATCAGTCGTCTACATTATGCTTTCCTTGTTTAGTAATAATAATAATAATAATAAACTTTATTTGTATAGCACTTTTCCAACATACATGCAACTCAAAGTGCCTCACAAACAACAACAAAAGCATTAAAATAGACCACAAAAACTTATCACATATACTGAAATAAAAGCATTCATGTACACAAAATATAAGTATATATCCACATGATCACACACACAATAGTCCTTACATATGTAAGCACACACCATACATTACATACATAAACCTACAACAAAATAGATAAAAATGCGTACACCTAACAAACTTGTTTAATCATATACAATTTTAAAAAGATGTGTCTTAACACGCTTTTTAAAAACATGAATACTTGCGGATACTTTCACTTCAAGGGGGAGACCGTTCCAAATTTTTGGAGCATAATGGCTAAAAGAAGTCCCGCCAGATTGCATCAGTTTACAGGATAAAATTCTAAAAGTCCAGCACTAGAAGAGCGTAGCAAACGGTTTGGATTATATTTTGTTAAACAGTCGAAATGTAGGAAGGTGTCATGTTGTGTAGTGCTTCATAAACTAATAAAAGAATCTTAAAATCTATCCTTTGGTGCACAGGTAACCAGTGTAATTCTATTAATACTGGTGTAATGTGCTCTCGTTTCTTTAATTTCATTAAAACTCTGGCTGCTGAATTTTGTATCAATTGCAACTTCATTGTAGAACCCTTAGGTAGACCAGTATAGATAGCATTGCAATAATCAAGCCGAGAGAAAATAAAAGCATGAATTAATTTCTTGGCATCATCAAAAGATAGGAAAGAACGAATTTTGGCAACATTTCTTAAATGATAAAAACATGTTTTTGTAACTTGATTAATATGAGATTTAAAATTAAGATCGCAATCGAAAATAACACCCAGGTTCTTTCATTCTTTTTTGGGTTCTAAACCTAAAGAACACAGTTCTGCGTCAATCCTCTCTTGCTCTGGTTTTTTGCCCACAATAAGTGTTATTCACTAGGTTATCAGCATTTCAGCTGTCCTAACAACTTGATGAAAACACACCTAAGTTGCATTTGGGATTTATTTTTTTATTTTTTGCAAACTTTAAAAAGGTTTTGCTTCACTTTAAGATAGAAACCCGGCTTTTTAATGTTAAAATAATAATGTAAAAAAGGCCACTAATATTTTGGCTTGTTCAGCTATTATTTATATACTATTTATATGGGTAGCCAATAATGTATTATATCATAGCTTTTGTAGTGTACATGTTCATGTGGTTGAAAGCGTTCATAATTAACCCTTTGCTAAGCTCCGCCCTCCTTAGTTACAGTTGTTACGCCTGTTAAGCTTTCGTGCCTAGCACGTCTATTACAATATGTAAGCACCGGTGTCAGACATTTCCAGGGAAATAATTAGTCATTTTTGGCAAACAGGTGAGATATCTGAGAAAGCCAGGCAAAAAAAAAGGACTGCAGTATGTATTGCAGGTGTATGTTCACTATGTAATACACAACCGATTAGAAAATAATTTAATCAAAACTGAAGCTAAAGCCTAGCCCCCTCATACACTGACCATTTAACAGCTTAGTTCATGCACAGCAGGAGAGGGGAAATTTAAAAATAATCTTATAATAACAAATTCAACTGTGATTGCTTTATTTTATTTTTAGCCAAAAAGCCTGATAGATTAATTGTAGTGCAATGAAATATAGTGTTAATAACCAGCGAGGAAACACGCATGAACAGTGCTTCTGAATAATTCATTCATAGAAAGAAAAGGCCAGAAAGGCAAAATTGATGGATTTGTGGCGGAATATTAGCATCATTAACCCATAACAATGTACAGTACCTATCACTGTCATTATGTTTAAGTTCTTTTTATCCAGTTTCTATTTTAATTTGCAGTTATGTGAAAAAAAATAATTGAATTGAAATGGAAATTTAAGTATAAACAGCAGAAGCGAACAAATAGATTTTCCCTACCAGCAAATATTAATCAGACACCAAATATAAAAGCAGACAATAACCTGCTATAACGTCATCACCAATCATCTCCAAAAAAATCTCTAAAAGACCGACAAAAACATTGGTGATTTGTAACTCTGACTTGTACATGAGGGTAATAAATGACTGAAAAACAGCTGCAGGTGAAGTATATTGATCGCAAGTGCTCAGATTGTGATCACATCTGTTTTGTTCTGTTGATATGTAATCCAGATATTCGTAGCTTGAAACAGATGGAAAAATGACTGGATTGTGATCGCTCTTACAGCTATTGCAAGGGCTTAAACGGAGCATTACGCATAATATTGAGCGAAAATAAAGAGACAGCTGGGAAACATAACCTGTTTTGTATTTTTGTTTGAAACACAGTTTAGATCTTTTTTAGAGTTAGAGGTTTTTGAGTTATTGCCATTGGTCTATCACTGAATGTGTCTAAAATAGCAAAAACAAAACCAACTTAACTCCCCTCACACAGCTTGATCCACGCTGGCATTTCTCTCATTGGGTTTTAGGTTTTGGAAATGGAAAAAAAAAATTCCACCACCCCGTCCAAACCTTTAGGATACCGGTATCAGATTTGCACAATCCAATGGCTTGTTTCCCTGGCTCGAAAGCTTGACAGACCTCCTGCACGTAGCTAAAGTTGCTAAGCCACGATTGGTGTGTGGCAGTCTTCGGTTGTGGCTTAGTGAAGGGTCATTTCTCACATTATGGGATGTGTTAGGACGCATGCCAGACAGCCTGGTTTTAAACATACCGTATTGTTGTATAAGTCCTGATTTTAATGTTTTATGTTACTGACATCCAGCCAGTTACCAAATTTTGGCAACCAAAATAACTGTCAAAGATTCTTAATGAGAAGTTTGAGATGTATCAGTGTCTGTTTTGTGCACACAACATAAAATAGCTAAAGCATGAGACGTGTGAAGACGTGTGAATAAGCTTCGTTTTAACCAAATATGATTCTTGAGTTAGTAATTTGGCAAATTTGTCTGACCTTAATTTTGAGAGGTAGCTTTCTGCCAAATAACATTCCAACTGTGAATGTCATACAGCATACAGTTTCCTTACCCAGTGACTGAAATACAAACACTAAAACATTTATTCAATAATTTTTTTTGGTTTCCTGTTAAATAAACATGGTTGATGCATATGATGTCTTCATCATATTTGATTTGGTGGTGGAGTTTCTTTGTAAAGCAGTAATAGCGAAGTCTGTGAGAACTTGGTTACTTATGTTATAAACATGACCCGGTATCATGCCTTTCTAAACAAATAACCCTCATAAAAAGTATTAAAAATGGTTAATTCATTTATCATGTAACTGTTGTATTAGCAAAGTATCACAGCTATTCCTCTCCTTTTCTGCAGGTTTATCCAGCACCCAAAAAACTTTGCCCTGATAGCCTCTTTTCTGGAGAGAAAGGTACACCTGCATCTTTATTAATATCATCCTCTTCATCTCATTGTTTGCACTGCAGGCTGTGTGCACCGCGTGAATGTGATCAGAGTGTTTGAGCTGAACGACTAAGACTTGAAGTGCTGTATGTGTGTGTGTCCCACCACAGACGGTGGCTGAGTGTGTCCTCTTCTACTACCTGACTAAGAAGAATGAGAACTACAAGAACATCGTTCGCAGAAGCTACCGTCGCAGAGGCAGGAGCCAGGTAAGCAACTTTCCAAGCATGCCTTTTGACTTTTTAAGGTGTACTTTGTTTTATATGTTCTGCTGAATCTTGCGCACACTCATGTCAACATCACTTTCTAAGTAGACTAAAGTATACTTAATGCCTAGTTCAGACTGCGTGATTTTAGCCCCGATTTCGGATCGCCGACAGGTTTTGAGAAATCGCCGACAAATGCCTGAAATCACAGGCAAATTGGTGCTCGTGCACGTGAGTGACAATCACACAGTATGAACTATCAAAGACGCGATCTGATAGAATCGCCAATGAGTCGCCGATGCCTGCAAGATATTTGGCATGCTAAATATCTGGAGCTGTCGGCGATTCAAATCATGCCGTGTGAATTGAGTTTTGACTGAAAATAACATCAGCGATCGCCTACAGCCAATGAGAGAGCAGCATTCACTTGTGTGTGCGTGTGTGTATACCTGCTGCAGGCCTGCGGGAGGCTGGGGGAGAAGTTAAGAGCAACCTTTTTCGGTTTATTTGGACCCACGAAATGGAGGAAAAACTAGTGGTGGTTTGACAGGACTCAGGAGCAACCGTGTCTGTTTGACGTTTCACACAGAAAGAAATTAGTTTATTAGCAACGTTGAGCAGAAATGGCTAATTCCCTTTAAACCTAGGTGAGCAAATATGTGCATTTTCTACCCCATTAAAGGCTTATTATGTAGTTAATAACAAACGATATACTACATGTTTTTGGCTGTGAGACGTAGTTTGGACGAAGTTGTCGGCGATTCTTCCTATAGTAAAGTCATGCAATGTGAAAGTCCCTGTCGCCGATCCACCTTGCAGTGTAAACAAAGCAGCGACGAAACGCAAGCCCAGATAGTCATGCAGTGTGAAAACAACTGTGACACGACTACTTTAAAAATCATGCAGTCTGAACTCGGCATAAGTCTGACACATGTAGTGCAGATGCTTTTTTAGACGGTACCCAACAACAGGGGGCAGCACCCAGCGTCTTTGTACTTTTCTAAACGCACATTGTATAAATGTTGATAATTTCTGATCTCTTCGAACAAACATCTTGCAAAACAAGAGTCTTAATGCTGCATTTCATGCAAGTAGGGTGTAGTGGATGTGGATTATGCATTAAAAACAATTATACTTTTTTTATATTTTTTGCATTTTGTAGTTGTTTTATCAACGCTTAATGGTGCTAGTTTAAAACATTGGCTCTCTTTTCATCTGCATTTTCTGTGATCGGATCACAAGTGGTCAACCAAGAGGCGTTAGAGTTTAAACATGATGTTAACAAGCATTCAAATGCGTGAAATGCAACCACGTGTTTAGATTCTGTCAAAATCCTCCGCTCTTATTTGGTCACGTTTTACATCACTTTCGCTAGCAAGCATGCAGATGAAAAGAATGTGAATGGCAGCTACGTTAATCGAAAAACAGCTTGCATGCCTTGTTTTGAAATGCTATCTCACAACGCACCCCATAGTGATTATGTGTAAGGTCAGTAGGTGAAGAGTAAGCGCTCTTTTGTGGCTGTTCATGCACATTCAAACACTTTGAAAGCACTCTGAACAAGCGTATTGCAACCTAGAAGTGGTCTGACATGGACAAGCCTAATGAATTTGAGATTTTATTAAAACTTCTTGTTAGTGCTGTCCATTCTGTAGACATGTTGGCAAGAATGCATCTTGATTCTCGGTGTAAAAGAGGCTATATTGATAGGTTTCATAAAACATCACACAATTAAGGGAAAACCGCCCCCCACTGGACAAGCAAAAACTATCTCCCGCTTTCCGCCAAGTCGCAAGCTGAGCGATTTCTTAGTTTTAACTAAGATGCCATATAGATGTTCTGCAATAAGATATATTTAACTAACGAGAAGACATTCATCTGCTGATTTACTTCAGAGAAAGAAAATCCAGAAAAGAGAAACTTGTGGATTATACCAAACGGCAGACTTTTTGACTCATCATGATCTAAGATACCTATAACTGTTGGTACTTTTGTACGCTTTTTTAAAAATCTTTTGTTTCTTTTTCTATTCTAATTTGCAGTTAAAGTATACATTAACCAAATATATTATATACCATAATATAACTGAAGTCAAAATGTAAAGAAGTGAACAAACAAACAAAAAGACAGCAAATATAAAAACATACACACATTCTATACCACCATCACAAATGACTGAATTGCTGAAGGATTCTCCACAAGACGGATTTAACTATTAATCATTGCTGAAATGGAGCTCTGGCATGTACCTGATGTTTTTCTTAAAGGGGTGGTCCGCTACGATATCATATGCTAAGCTTTAGTTGATGTGTAATTTAGCTGTGTGAACATAAACAACAGCTCTGAATGTAATGCGCTCAAAGTTCAGTGCACAGGGAGACATTGGGTTTTTGTTTGTTTGTATACTTTATTGTCCCTCAAGGGGAAATTTTCTGTAGACTCCCACAGCACTTCAGCAGGTTCTGACACAATAACAATCTAAAAATAAGCCAACATGCAGAAGAATTACATATACTATCGTTCAGTGTTCAATAATCTGATTGACACTGGAATAAAAGAGTTCTTAAGTCTGTTCCGTTTCCAGCGGAAAGTTCTGTATTTTCTTCCAGAAGGTGAAAGATCGTAAAATGGGTAGAGTACATGAGATGGGTTACTTAAAATTCTTTTAGCTTCATACAGAGTGCATTGCTCGTAGAGTGTTTATATACTAGTAAAAATTTCATATTTATTAGTTTTGTAGCAGAGTTAGCTTAGTAAAGCCTATAGCAAATGAAGTTTGGGGGCTACAATAAAATGCATCTGGGATAGTGAGATCACAAACGCTTCAGGTTAGGTGCATACGTAACACGCATACACCCTGTACTGCAAAGAGGCGTAGCCAGAGGCGTTGTAATGCTGTAATGTTGCAGAGAAAGGCAAAATTCCGTCCAACCGCTGCTATTTTTAAAGCGCTTGTTCTGTTTGACACAAAGAGAGAAGTGCTTACAATTTAATTTTAATTATGTTCCAGAGAATTTTAAAAAATATGTAGCTAGAATTTGACAATTAGGAACTTCCAGAATCTCTCCCAGTTCATTGCTGGATTCGGCTAAAACTCCTCAAAAAAGGAGCAGCTCTAACCATAATAGAAGAAGCTGTGGATTGTGAGCCACAGATTTTAAGTATTTTTATTTGTTAAAATTTATCTGTTTTTAAAGTTAATGGTATGTTGTAGCAAGGATGTAAACAACAGGAAATGCTGTTTGGCACTATTAACAATTTAGCTACAAATTGCTATTTATCCTTCAACTCTCTTTGCAGTCGCTTTCCCTGCATTATATAACTCAAATAACAAACTTGCAAAAGATATGTGAAACTTTTATATTACTTACACATGCTCAGACATCCGAAGTCTCCAAAAAGTTCCAGGAGTCTCCTGCATAAGCATACAGACTCCCGGATGCCCGCAAACAAATAATAAACTCCCGGAAATTGCGCGTGTCCCTCCACTCTTCAAATAAATTGCGCGCGCTAAGGTTCAGCTATGTCCTCTGTGTCATTTTTTTTTTTTACATTCGGGTACAAACTGATACGGCTAAACACTGACAGTGTTTACACAGCGCAAAATCGTGTGCTTAAAGGGGTGTGAGGCTTTTCCTGGTGACATGGAGCCAATCCGCGAATCACAGCACATTATGATAGCTGACCAATCAGAGCATCTTGAGGGCAGGCTTTCAAAGGAACTAGTAAATATGACAGCTGTTTTCATGTTAGCTGAATAGCTGTATATAATCAAAGTAAGATCCGTGAAAAAATAATGTGATTTTCTGAATGAAGCTTGAGCACACCTTACTTTGCATCTTATAAACACAACTAAGCCTTAAAATTACACCCTGGAACACCCCTTTAAATGACTGCAATAGGGCAGTGGGTGCTGTATATGGATCCCAAGTGCCCAAAATGTACATTTTGTTACATATATCTTCTGTTTACATAGTTGAAAATGGAAGGAAATCTTACCAGCTTATGGGGCATTTCTAGGGAGCTCCTATTGTAAGCTGCCCATAAAACACACTAAGTCACATGACTAAAAAAATATTAATTGTTATTTGGTTCTTGCCAAAATCATTTCATACATTTTGCAGTTCTTTGCATGAGTGTCCAACCTAAAAGTGTCTAATCAAGTGGTGTCCTGTTGCAGTTTTAGAGTAGAAAAGCTGAAATTGCTCATTATAAGTTGAATGGAATGCAGCATCAAAATAACTAAAGGCTTTTGAATGTTGTCCATAGAATTATGGCATATGAAACATTATAAACATTTATTCTGCTTGTGGTTCAGTCCCCTCATTACCAGCATTTACCTCATCATTATGCTTATAGTGGCATTGTGAATCCGGCTTGTCTTTTTAATGAGTGTGTGTTATTAAAAATAAATCAGCATGATTCTAATGAGTATCACAGGCACACACCTCAAAGTGAGTTGAAACCATATGCAGTAATTATCCAGCTTCTGTGCCCTGCTGGAGTTCTCCGTGACTCTCTCCTGATCTCATATACTCATTAATGTATGTGTATGTGTGTCACAGCACTGTTGCGGCGTGAATATGAGAAATGTTTGCGTTTTGGTTTAAAGAGAGGGCAAGCAGGAGCACTCTATGTGTGTCATTCCTGCAGCTCAATAAAAGCTGATAGAATAATGAGTCCACAGCCCAAACACATTTGTTTTACTGGTCTTCTCCTGCTGGAGCTCTTCTGCTCAGGTCATTAAATATCGCCTGATCTTTAATGGGCTCACATTAAAACCCTCTCAGCCAGCACCACAAACACCGAAAACGAGGGATACAACAGGATGAGCCTGATGGGTGAGAGAGAGCATGAACAAAAGCGAGACAGAAAAACAGAAAACAAGTTACTGTACGGATGAGTGCATCTGTAGATGTGTGTTTAACTGTGCATGAGTAACTGAGCATGTAGCGCTGTAATAAGGGACGTGGGCAGCTGACGTGACGTCTGATTTCACTGCTCCCAGAGAAAGACCATTCAGTTTTTTGGCTTACAGTGTAATCATTTGGTAAATTGATTTTGTGATTTGTCTGTAATTGCTAGTTCAAATAAATACTGTACTTCTAGATGATGCTGCACAGTCTTCTTCAGCTTTTATAGCAAATTAATTAAAATGATTTAAGACAAACGTGAAGGGTGGCGCAGTGGGTAGCACGTTCGCCTCACAGCAAGAAGGTCGCTGGTTTGATCTTCGGCTCAGTTGGCGTTTCTGTGTGGAGTTTGCATGTTCTCCCTGCGTTCGCGTGGGTTTTCTCCGGGTACTTCGGTTTCCCCCACAGTCCAAAGGCATGCAGTACATGTGAATTGGGTAGGCTACATTTTCCGTAGTGTATGAGTGTGTGTGTGTATGTGTGGATGTTTCCCAGAGATGGGTTGCGGCTGGAAGGGCATCCGCTGCGTAAAAACTTGCTGGATATGTTGGCGGTTCATTCCGCTGTGGCGACCCCAGATTAATAAAGGGACTAAGCCGACAAGAAAATGAATGAATGAAGACAAACGTGATGATGATTTAATTACATTTAAATAGAAAAGCTGTTTTCTATTGCCATAAAACATTCATTCATTCATTTTCCTTCGGCTTAGTCCCTTTATTCGTCAGAAGTCGCCACAGCGGAAATAATCACCAACTTATCCAGATAATGTTCTACACAGCAGATGTCCTTCCAGCTGCAAATCAGTACTGGGAAACACCCCTACACTCCGCATTCACACTCATACACTACGGACAATTTAGTTTATTCAATTCCCCTATAGCACATGTCTTAGACTGTGAGGGAAACCAGAGCACCCGGAGGAAACCCACGCCAACACGGGGAGAACATGCAAACTCCACACAAAAATGCCAGTGGACCCAGCCGGGACTTGAACCAGCAACCTTCTTGTTGTGCGGCGACAGTGCTAACCACTGAGCCTCTGTGCCACCCTGCCATAAAGCATTTTATTAGACTATTGTATTTATTTTTTATTTTTTATGTCCAAATGACTATGTTTAACTAATATTGAAATAAATGTTTATTAGGGAAATATTATAACACTTTCCAATATCGGACAGATAGTTAATGTATTTACTTAAAATGAACAAACAATGAACAAATAATTTATTTCAGTATTTATTTGAATTTGTTATCTTTAGTTACTGGAAATACATTAGTTTATTGTTAGTTTTTTCAATAACGGGCAGATTTAAAACAGGACTAACGTTATCTCTGTGAAAAACTGAAAATATCAAAAGTAGTGGCTGTGAAGAACGTAGTCTCCTAAAACTGGACATTTATAATGCAGGGATTCTGCAGGGTCTTAAAAAGTCTTTAAAAGTCTTAAATCTCAAAATCCAAATTTTAGGCCTTAAAAAGTCTTAAATTAACTGAAATATTGTGTTGTTGGTCTTTTTTAAACAGGTCTTAATTTTCTTTTTTTCATAAATTGCTACTCAATCTGGCCAAAACCCATACATTCATCAACAATCTATCTGAATAATACTTGTTGAATAAATCTTTATCTAAATAAGATATAAAAATTATCTAAATAAACCTTCTTGCTGTGAGGTGACGGTGCTTACCACTGAGCCACCGTGACACCCCAAAATATCCTCAATAGATGAAAAAAATCGTGAGGAAGTCACATGTTACATGTTTTACCCCAAATACACCACGATGAGAAAAATATTTTTCCCCCAATTTGAAACATTGATCAGTTCATTTTTTTATTTAAATGACTCTTTAAAAAAAACAAAACTTTACCATATTCTCGGAGAGGACGAATTGACATTTAGACTAGCTGCAAAATATGTATACACCCTACACACCATAAGAAATGGTTAATGTAAACTCATGTATCTTATTTAAATAATTTAAACTTTTTACTATTATTATTATTATTATTATATTTATCAAATGTATTGTTTTTTTTTGTGTGTGTCATTATATCTTATCTGTATTACTATTAATTTTTCAATGTTTTTAATATATTTTATATTTGAAGTACTTTGGGAATACTGTACTTAATGTCATGCCAATAAAGCAACTTGAACTTGAAACTTGAACTTCCCAAATCTGTACCTCATCAGGATCTTAAAATGCCCTCGGCCTGTGATGTGACCTCAACTACTTAGAACTACTTCATTTCAATTGAACAAATTGTTCATTAAATTGGGTTGTTATTGTACATGCCATTTCAGTAGCTTCATAATAAGCTAAGACCTGTTTACCTAGGTCAATGTAAAACATTTTGTCCAATCATTCGATCTGATTGCTTGTGTAGTGTAAACAGCCACTGAAGACCAGCTGCTCTCTCCCCACTCATCTAATTCTAAAACATTACAAGATCCGAAATCTTCGCTTAGGCATGAAAGTTTCCTGTTCTTTAGTCTTGCTGATTCTTATAACAGTCCAAAGAATTGGATATAAATTTGTGAGATGCCACTCTCCATGACATTTTGGATTATTTCCTGTTGCCTTCATAAGTATATTGTGCAACCTTACTGTATGTTGCTGTGGCGTGCTTGTGAAAATGAATGAAAGGAAAATGTGTATACCGCTGCCATACAAGACACAATCAAAAACATCATAGTGCAAAATCATATATTGAATGACAATACATTTGTCAGCTACGTTTGTGCATGTGTGTGTGTAAGGTTATCTCGGGTCCTGTCTGTCAAAAGCTGTGGTGCATGGAGACATTGTGATTCTTCTTTCACTTCATTGATCACTCCATTCTCTGTCCCCTTAGATTCTGCCGCTGTCTGTTCATTCTTTTTCATGGATTTTCTTTCTCTATTTTGTACTAGCTCTAGTGCTTATATTTCGTTCCTGACAAAAATAGATGATTTATGGTACCTTGTAACTCAAAATGGAATTCTTATGTGAAGGAAAGCCCAGATACAAAGAAGTGAGATCTGGGTACTGGGGTGTTTTTTTTTTCCTTCGCACTTTGTTCACAGACAGATTTATAACAAGACGTCCTGGTTCAAGACAGCATTTGGGAAATTATAGGGGAATTTAAGTGTGTGTACAGCCAATCTGCATATTTATTTATTTATTTAGCATTTTTTGTCAGCAGATGAGAATGTTAAAAGGACAAAATGTTTTCGATGTGGATTTAATTGTCTGTGTTTTGATTTTCTGTGCTCGCAGAATAACCAGCAGGCACAGCAACAGGTGAACCGGAACAACCAGGAGGAGAAAGAAGACAAGGAGAAAGAAAAAGAGGGAGAACGTGAGGAGGACAAAGCGGAGGGAGATGACAAAGAGGATGGCATAAAGTGAGTATTTTCCCTCTTTTCGCTTGCCTGCTGCTCCTTTTTGTCTCGCATCCGTCCGTCGGCTGCTTTTTCTTGCATTTTCTCTCATCATATTCTTTGAACTCGTGGCCTTATAGCTTGTTTTTCTCTGTGATTCAGCTTAAACTGAGAAGGCACAGTTATATAACCAGGCAGGTGGAAAAAGCATTCTGCTGACTTGCCACTCAAAGCCGGTGCTAAAGTCCTCAGATTCAGAGCTCTTTTAAGCTGCTTGTGTGTCACAGACTCTAGGTTAGAAATATGCTTATGAGACCACAATTTCGTGATTTAAATTTCAATACCACAAGGAAAATTTCATATCCTGTCAGAATATTAGATTTTTTTATATTCCAATTTTTTATATTTTACTTAATTTATTCTTTTTATAAGTTGATTTATGAGCAATGTAATTAAAAATTAATAAAAATATAGTTGAAGTCAGAATTATTAGCCCTCCTCAATTTATAGCCACCCTGTATATATATACTATGTTTAACAGAAATATTTTCTAATAACTGCAAACTTTATATAACTTTTTTAAATAACTTTCTAATTAATTTATAATAACTGATTTATTTTATCTTTGCCATGATGACAGTACATAATATTATATTAGATTTTTTAAAGATACAAGTATTTATTTTAAAGTGCAGTTCACGGGCTTAACTAAGGTAATTAGGCAAGTCATTGTATAATGATATCTTGTTTTGTAGACGTGAAAAAAAAATTGCGTAAGGGGGCTAATAATATTGACCTTAAATAAGGGTGATATAGCAAAAAAAAAAAAAAAAAGATCACAATATCATGTTTAATATCATTCGATATCGATAATTATTGAATTTTTTTAACAAACCATTTAGGAATATTAGGTTTTTTTTTTATTTAACCACTTTTTACAATTGTATTACTACAATATCACTAAGACAAATTGTTTTAATAGTCAAAAACAAAATTATTTAAACAAAATATCTCATCTCTTTATAATAAAATGAGCATAAGTGTTAAAGAGACTTTTAAACTTGATAAATAAAATGTTACAAAGTGTGTGAAATGATAAAGCATAAAAACCGAAAAAGCAAATGAAAGCAAACTTTAAGGTGTGAATAATAATGATACAGTTAGCCTCAAACTCTGTAAACAAAAGAAATTATGATAATCAAATCTGAGCTTTCGCGTAAAGGAACCAGCCATCATTATTCAAATACATATTGCAACATTATTGTGAAGTTGAATGACTATATTACCCGCTATGTTAAAAAAATCTTTCAGGTGGGGTGCTAGTAACTGCTATGCACAAGAAAAGAAACCAGAAAGCCACCTTATATCCTTTTCCTATTTCCTGACTGCTGCTAAACGGCACTCATTTTTGCATGTGTTGTGATTCTGACTTGAAGTAACAAGCGTGCGCGTGGATTCCTTGACCATTTACAATTGACTTTGCTTGTGCTCCCCTTGCGTCTCTTGCAACTAGGCGACCATCAAGAGGATGACTAATTAATAAACCATTGCGGCGGTTTCGATACAGGTTTATTGAGAAAAGTAAAAAGCGTTGCAGTGTTTGGGTGAGCTGTGTTTGTCTGAGGTAATCAGTCTACCATTATTACTGAAATGTGTAAATTCCATACAACGTGTGAAGCAGATCAGAGAAGGTTCTTTAAAAGTCTTCAATTTAATTTGAGAAGTCTGCAGAAACCCTGAAATAACAGAAAGAAGTTCAAATAAATGAAGACCAAACACTTTGTTTATTTGATTAATGTTACTTTTTTTTTAGTTTACTTTCTTTCTTTTCTAATCCAAGCACACCTTTTTCATTTTCTCCAAACACTGGTTAGTTACAAATTCAGTTTCTGTATCATTTCAGCCTAATTTTCTGAGCACTAGTTCCCTCACAGGTGCACACTATATTAAAATGCTCTAGGGAAGTATAGATAACGGTGTATTAATCTAAACCAAACCTGTGCAGTCAGCAGTACTGTAGGGTGTGATTAGAGCACATTAGCACTGGCCCGAATACAAGGCCCTCAGTATTCGCCTCAGCAAGCCAGCTATACATTAAATGAGCACATTAAGCCGAGTCTGTGCATTTCTCGGACTTTTCCCCCATGATTCCTCCAACCTGCGGGCACAGCTGCTGCTCCTATATTTAGCAGTGTATCTGCAAGATGAATAATGTGCAGGTAAGATGAATGTGGGTCTGCTCATCCCACAGCCACTTCCTGACACTGTGCTGTACGGCTGAAGCAGAGTTCACCTGCTAGTGAGCCAGACTTTGCATAGTTGTCACATTCATGTGTGCATGCATATGCAGCTTTTCCATGTCTACGTGTCTGCCTGTGTCTTTCCATTAATATGTATGTCCATCTTTTTATATTTCCATCAATCCAATGTGGATTTAAAGTGTTTAAAAACGCATGAGTGCAAATGTAATATTAATTTTATTAAATAAGTTAATATCCTATTATATTTTAGATGCAGTGTTTCTTCTGTTTTGCCAATGACAATTTTCTACACAATCTGGTGTATCTAAGGTTCAATAATTATTTTATCCTGTATTCATCATCATTTATGAAGCTTATTATTTGATTATATGATTATTCTTTTTCAGTCTGAATATCAAACCTACTTTTAACTTCCATCTTTATGTTACTCACATGTCCTGTATTTCACATATGACTTCTCATTCTTTTCTTGTTTTGTTTTGTGTGTGTGTTTGTGTGTGTGTGTGTCTATATATATATATATATATATATATATATATATATGTGTGTGTGTGTGTGTGTGTGTGTGTGTGTGTGTGTGTGTGTGTGTGTATATATATATATATATATGTATATATATATATATATATATATATATATATATATATATATATATATATATATATATATATATATATATATATATATATATATATATATATATATATATATATATATATATATATATATATATATATATATATATATATATATATATTATGGTGTTGATGTACTGTAGTATATATGTTTTCAGCAGTCTGTCTTTTTGACTATGTGATGGCTTGTGTCTTTTGTGGTACTAAGCGTTCTTTCCTGGAGCCGACATTTGCAAAAAATGCAGCTCTGCTGTTTTTTGCTTTAAGGGTGTCAAAACCACAACTTGTGTCTTGCTTGTTTATCTAAGGTTGCCTATTGTATTTCAAGGGTCACGGTGACTTGGCCTAACGCTCACCCTAATTCAGCCACGTGGAGGAAAAGATCTTGCAAAATCTGTATATTTAATGATCAAAATTTAAATGCATAAATATATAATAATACTTTATTTAAAATAATGAAAGGAGAGTTCACATAAAAATGAAGACCCTATAATCACCTTTGTTTAATTTCAAACTGCAATAAATTGTCTGTAAAGGTATCTAAAAATAGATATTAATAATGAATAATAAAAAATTCCCACATGTAAAAAAACACTTGAATCAAACTATTTATTTTAAAATCTCTTTTGTAAAGGTCTACTTCTTATTTATAGCTTTTAAGATAATAATGAGTTTGCTGTTTTTCTTGTTTAAATTTAACATGTAATTAATTAGATGAATTATTCTCATCATTATCTCAAAAATTAGATTAATTTTAAATTGATTGACAGCCCTGCTATCTGTCTATTTTTTGTCACCCTGCCCATCCATTAATCTTTCCATCTTATGTATTTAAATGAAAATCAACACAGAGGGAGAAAACGCTGTCATAGCAAGAGGTGTAAACTTAAACTGGTCTCACGGTTCGGTTACGATTATCATGCCATCAATTTGGTTCAGTTCGATATCTTGGTGCATCACGGTGAATTGACGATGCTTTCCATTTGCTATTTTATATTTTACTTCACAATACAAGAATTCTTGTATTTAAATTTAGAATTTTGAAATCATTTTTGTAAACAATCTTGTCCTTTAATACGAGCAGTGAGATATAAGAACTGTACATTTAATTTTAACTGCTCAAAGAAAATATTCTTTTTGAATGTATCAAACAAAACTCAAGTGCATGCACAAAACAACATGAGCATTTAAAGCAAAAAAACAAATGTAAATATTATCCCGCCTGGGGATAATTTTAAAATGCCTATGACGCACTTTCAAAAAAAAAAAAAAAAAGGCTGCGTTTGGCTTTAACGCTCTGCCGTTTTTTACGGATTGGTGACACTGATAAATCGTTGCGGCTATCACAGCTGATCCGTAATAGACGCGGTTAAGAAAACTCGCTCTGCAGACATGCTCGTGTCTGGATCCACAAGTATCCACAGCTGAGAGGAGAGGAAACGTTACCTCACGCCAGCAATCAAACAGGCATCAGTGTGAGAGAGAAAGAGAAATGGAGTTTACTTTCGTTTTCTTCAGCAGTAGATTTTCTTCATTTTTAGAAGCAGTGGGCTTCTGTTCTAACTTCAGTGTTAGTGAATGACTGTCCAGTAGCATTGTTGTTGTTTCTGCATTTAAATTACTCATGCTCGCCTTCCTCACCATAGTATTCTACCGTGACATATGGCATATGAGATAAATTACATCAGTACGTAATAACCAGTTAGGACCTACAGTATTACTAAACCAATACCGAATTGTCTACCTCTGCATTGCAGTGCACCTTAGAAACTATTAATTTTGACACCGCTAGTCATAACATGGTGTGCATCTGAAAAATAGGCTTTCCATTTAGTGTATGGTTTGCTAGGGTGAAACAATATTTGGCTGAGATGCAATTATTTGAATATCTGGAATCTGAGGGTTCAAAAAAGTAAAATGCCTTTAAAGTAGGAAGTGAAGTGCTCCGCAATGCACATTACCAATCAAAAATTGAGTTTTATATATTTTCACAGTTGGAAATTAACTAAATGTCTTCATGAAACATGATCTTTATTAAATATTCTAGTGAATTTTGGTTTAAAAGAAAAAAAAATTGAACCATACATTGTATTTTTAGTCAGTTTTATGATCCATGGTCAGTGCTATTTAGAAACTTATCATACTATAGAAAAATAAGTCATGTAACCTTGTTTAATGTTAATATTATTACTTGATTTACTGTGATGTAATGTACATTGAAATGACGACATCAAGAAACTGTAGAATGTGACTTTGACAATGGCTTTCTCCATGTTGTTGCAGAGATGACACCTCTGGTGAGGATGGGGAGGAGAAAGAGCCTCCTGTAACCGTTAAAGGCCGTCGCACAGCGAACAGCCGTGGCCACCGGAAAGGACGAGTCACTCGCTCCATGACCAATGAACAGGAAGAGAACACTTCACCTCTCGGCAGCGAGCTGGGTTAGCAAGCACTTACACACTGTTGACTTTTTCACTGCCTCTTTGTTTTCCTCTGCAAATTAACTGTGTGTGACCTTTATTGTATAACGCTGACCCACTTCAGTTTCATAACTTCACTTTTCTGTTCTTGGAATTGTTTGGACTGCAATGATATTAACAGAACAAGAATGACCCTAATAATGAAATGCTGCGCAAATATTAGAGTAGATATCATCTGTCCCCTGAGTGTCACAACATTCACTGCTTTTACAGTGGCGTTTAAGTTTCTGAAATGGACTTTTATAAGATTGTTTGAGCTCTGTGGATTATCTTGCTTGGCTAAGAGCGTTCTTGAAATTTCATTGATTGTGCTTCAGTTAAAAATCTACTTCAGCACAAGGGGCCGAGTGCTGGCAGCATTCTGCATTCATTATTATCAATCACAAGAGCTTTAGATGTATACATGTATATAAATCTTCAGCTCGAGTGTCTTGTTTGGTTTAATTCAGTTGCCGTAAATTTCGATAAATATATATGAATTCCCCTTTCTCCTGCATTACACATATGCAGGCTTATTTATTTTCTTGTTGTGTCTTTTACCATGATTTTCTTTTACTTTAGTGTGTAATACATCAGTTTGTGCTCTCAAAAGGTTTTAAATCTCCCATAATTATTTGAACTGGAATTGAATTAACTTGCATTACTTTATTTTTCTCGTTTTTTAGCAAACCTGGAGATGAATGAGAGTTCTCGCTGGACAGAAGAGGAGATGGAGACGGCAAAGAAAGGTCAGGATCTGGGTTGTGTTTATGTATTTTGTTTGCGTTTCTTGAATTGACAGACCACCCACTGGATGGGGTTATTTGTGCATGCACACACACTTAAAGGGATACTATTATACTTTTTACATTTTTCCTATTAATATTGAAAATAGTTACAAAGTCCACTCCGTAGGGTTTTTATCTCTATATCAATAAACACTGCATCTTAACTCTATCAGATACTTCTGTTGATGTCTTTCTAAGTTCTGTTTTTTGATATTATTTGTGCGTGTGTGGTCGCTTCATAGCTCTGTATTTACCAAACTGCATATCAGAGGCCTGTTGCACAAAGACATATTGGGTTTTTACCCTGGTAAGTTTGCCTTTTGTTATTGAGCTTAAGAAGGTGGAATCATCGCCACAGTAACTTATGCTACACTGACATCTGTAACATTCTGTGTTAGAGATCCAATCTGGACCAATCAGTTGTAAGTAAAGTGACTTTATATATATATATATATATAAGATGTTCAAATAATTTTATTTGAAAAGCATTTTTGAGTCAAAATTGTCTTTTGTTGCTAATAGTTTATATTTTAAGGATTGAATTGTGAATTAACATTATCACATTTAAATAAATACATATAAATTTGCTTTAATATATAAAGTTTTAGAAACGACTTTTGAGCTATTTGTGAACCTACATTAATAAAATCAGGTGATCGATTTTCATTCATATAATATTATTTGCTTTCCCATCAGTAGTGTTTATTACTTTGTAAATGTGTTTATATTCACTTTAATCTGATAATTATATCTCTTAAACTTTAACAATGGATATTTAAATTAGATGTCGCCTACGCTATTGCTGTCTATTGAAATGAATGCGTCAATGGAGCCACCATTTTAGAACAGGGTTGTGAATGAATGAATGTGGGACCAAGGTGCAGTTTGTACTGTATATACACATATGCACATATATTTATGATCGGGAGTTTTACCGGTGGTCAGTGTGCAAATATTTTTTTTTAAATTACGAAAAATATCATTTTTACATGGACACGTGACCTCACAGGCATTGACGACAAAGGGTGTGTATTTGGGTGGATTGAAATGTATTATCCTCCATGTTAAATTTGATCTAATCCATTTCCTGAAACACACATCCTCTCCTGCTTTTTTTTTTTTTTGTAATGCTAATGAAGGGAGCGACTCGTTTGTGAATGAATGTCCGTTATGAACCATCAATATCCCTGCGTCTCAATCTGCACATCCACCTTTCTGATATAAATGGTAAATAACATTTATAATATTCAATAATTACGTTATCGTTACGTAATAACGTTATCAGGAACCCTTATAAGTTAATTTAATACCTAGCCATTACTTCACCACAATAATACAAGTTTCTGGCACTGCATCTTGTTGTCATATTTCAATTACATTGTTTGCTGATTTTATTCAACAAAACAAGCATAAACCTAGAATTTAGTGCAAGTTGGTGCTATTTTGCCTTATGGTCAGTGCCTTAAAAGACTGTATTATCATCAATTACGTGACTTTAGCACAAAAGTTTGTAACATACACTTTTTTTTTCTTATGAAGTGTCAAAAACCAAACTTGCCTGAGGGCTGTGGGCTGAAGATACATTAAAGTTTCCATAAGTAATCACCTAATTTTTTTTTTTCTAATATTTAAAAATTACTAGAAAACATTGCTTTAAATTATATTAAAGAATGTGGTATATTTAAAAAAAAAATGTGTTTAATGAAGTTACTACTAATCTCATTTAATAAAATGGAGTTTGATTCTGAGTACACTAAGCTGCAACTGCCTTTGCCTTGATTTGCTCACTGATGTCTTGTGCATTGCCTCATATCCGTCGAGTGACAGTATTTACATTTTTTTAAAAATCTCATGAATTTACAAAACTAAAGAAATGACAAAACAAACAAAAGTTTACAATACATTCAAAATGACTATGTTTGTCAAAGATATTTGCCCCACCCACCAACCCATCATTCTCCCTCTTTCCCAAATGGAATGGTGGGCCAAATCAAAGTTTACAATGGGCCAACTTTGGCCTGCGGGCCCTAGTTTGGGCATCCCTGGCAGATGAATGACATTTGTCCTGGGAGCACTGTACAAATATGGTGGCGGTATTGACGAATTCTCAGGGTTCGTATGCGATATCTAGTGTATATATCTATGATCTTTAAGAATGTAAATTGCACTAATTCTGTCATAAAAACATAAAAACTGACTCTAATGTGTCGTGTGATTGGCTGTTTGAAGCAATCGTTACACTTTTAGCTGCATGTGGTCCAGAGTTAAAATGACAAACTCTGAGTTAAACCTAGAGTGGACAGAGAATGTTCAAAATAAAAGTTCTGAAACTACTTTATCTGATAGTACCCAGGTTAGATTTGTTGTTGTTGTTGTTGTTTTTTTAACCCAAAACTTTGTAACTCATAGTTTGTTCAACTCATTTTGTGCAACAGGCCTCAGGAGTTTAAACTTGCAAGGCTTCAAAACACATGCAGATGTTTTGTTGTTGTTGTTGGAGTATCCAAGTCCCAAGCTAAAAAGACAGACTTCTTATATATACAAAAGTGTTTTTTCAGCATGTTTTTGCTTCCAACCAAAAAAATGGGGATTTAGGAATTAATACAGTTTCAAAAAATGTACATATTTTAAGCTGAAATCTTACAGACGCATTCTGGTGATGCCTGAGACGTAGAGTATATTATATCTTCATATAGGAGCATAATGGGACTGATTCATGTTAGAAAACCATAATGCTTTTATTTAGGTGTCCTAGATAGGAATATTTTTATGAATAACTTTGTTTGCCTAGGCTATTGACGGTTAGGATTTCCCTGTGTCAAATTTACTAGATGTAACCCTGCCTGATAAGACGTGTAATACTCAGCCTAGCAACTCTACAAACATTTACATGAGCACTAGATCAGTCGCTGTGCCCTTGGCCTCATTTCACACATATGCACTGAGTGATACACATAATAATGTGTCTAAATGTGGGCGGCGTGTCTTTATATGACAGCTGCGCGTTCAGATGAGCTGCTTTCAGAAATGTGCCATTTACACGAGGTTTATTAACAAGAGCTTCATTAGTGGACCTTACGAGGTCTTCATGAGAGATTGAGGAAAATGAACTGAATGCTTGAGTAAAGAACAAAGGTCTGATGTTCTCTCTTGTCCGTGTCAGTGTTTGGACTGTAATGTAGACTGTTAGTGTGCTAAACGGCCGTCCCGCTGACCTACTTCAGACAAGCTACTTCCACGTCGCTCACTTAACAGTGCTCTGTTTCTCTGGCACATCCTATCTGATCCAGCAGGCCGCCTGCTCCTGTAACTGAATAACACTTCATTAATGATGAAGCTCTCATCAGCCAAATCACATTCGTTGTTTGCAATCACCAGAACTTGTTCTTGCTTCCGTGCCAACATGTATTCATTTATGTAATGCAGAGTCTGAATCTGATTTAGATTTTATAGATCTTGGCTTTCATTTTGAACGAGTCTGGTGTTGGTGCATGATTATTAAATTACAGAAGTGCTCATTCAGAAGTTAATAATAAGTAAACATGCGGCAGTGTTAAGCAAAGAGTTTTAAAATGGCCAATTGCATATGCCTATATTATACGGCCACTTTATTAGGTACACCTGTCTAACTGCCCATTAACGCCAATTTCTTATAAGCCAATCACATGGCAGCAATTCAGTGCATATAGGCATTTAGACATGGTCAAGATGATCTGCTGCAGTTCAAATCGAGCATCAGAATGAGAAAAAAAAGGTGAATTAAGTGACTTTGAACGTGGCATGGTTGTTGGTGCTAGACAAGCTGGTCTTAGTATTTCAGAAACTGCTGATCTACTTGTGGCTGGTGAGTAGGGGTGTCATGATTTCGATTTTTAATCGAAATCGATCGAAATTTATGCTCAATTTCGATTATCGAATCAAAAAATAGAATCGTCGATGCTGCCACGCCCTCATGTCACGTCAGCTTGGCTTGCCAAGCGGGAATAACAGGCTTGTTGAAGTGCTTGTTAAACTGCAGACGCAGGAGACCCGTCGACAGAGCTTAAACCCTCTCCTCTTTCAATGAAGTCGCCGGTGTGGAAGCATTTTGGATTTCCAGTGAGTTATTTTGACAACGTTCGTGTTGTCGACAAAAAAACACAGTTTTACAAGCTCTGCTATGTACGTATTACGTACGGTTCGTCCGATAGACAACGCCGGCATCGCGATCCTCCGCCCACCCCCGTTGCAAATCCGCTCGCGATAAGTACACACTCAAGACCTGTTTACACTGTCTTTGTTTTTAAATGCCATTTTAGAACGACAACGATTTGACATCCACAGTGCCGTGTAGCATTTCCGAGCAGCCCTCCTTCCTCTCTACTGCTGGAAACGCACATCACGTGACCACACAGACACAGACGCACACACAGCCATATGAGCTTGAGACAGCAGGTCCAGGCAGTCAGAGGACTGCTTCAATCTTTCACTCACTTGTACTTAGTCATTTTAGCGAACACCTCAGATACTGTTGGCTGGTTCCTGTTGGTTGTGCGTCTTTTTTTACCGACGCCATTATAACGACACAGATCACTGCCTATTCACGAGTCCCGCAGAAAAAGTGATTGACAGGTGGTAATAATGCGTGTATCTTGCCTTTATTCATTTACTGTATGATTTGTTTATGGGTAAAACAAAGACCATGCAGGTCAGGTAGTTTAAACGGTAGGCTACAAATAATTAATTGGTCATTAATTAATTAATTATTCATAATCGAAAATCGAATCGAATCGTGCCTTTAGAATCAAAAATGTAATCGAATCGAGTATTTGGAGGATCGTGACACCCTTACTGGTGAGTGTATGTCATATATGGAAACCCATTAACTAAGACTATTAGCAGAATAAATGACTATTTAGCTGCTTGTTAATAGTTAGAAAATTTGTAGTTTGGTTAAGGTATTGGGTTGGATTAGGGATGTA